CCAAAAGGGTCTATAAAGAAACTATTAGAGCTAATAAATGAATTCAGCAAAGTGGCAGGATATAAAATCAACACGCATAAATCAAAGGCATTCCTGTATATCAGCCACAAATCCTCTGAAATGGAAATGAGGACAACCACCCCATTCACAATATCCTCAAAAAAAAAAAAAAAAAAAAACTTGGGAACCTAACAAAAGAGGTGAAAGACTTATACAATGAAAACTACAGAACCCTAAAGAGAGATAGAGATTGGCATAGTAGCCTACCAAGGTCATGGTTGTTATCACCCTTATGAACTACAGAGGAGAGACTGTGTCTCGACAGAGCTAAGATTCAGCTAGGTAAAAAGGACAATCTCAACCTTAACTATCCCATGTCACATCTTGGACTAGGAAAGAAATAATTCATCCAAGATTATATAGTCAGGGTTCCAGAGTAGAGATTTGAATTCAGGACCCTCAGACTCCAAGGAAAGTACAAGGGCTGCCAAAAATGTGTAGAAACAAAGGCATGGTATAGAAAGACAGTGCAGTGTAGTGATTCCATGAGGGCTGGGGTCAGACAGGCCCACACTTAAATTCTAACTGCCAGTTTCTAGTGGTATGAACTTGGAGTCAGTTCACTGATACATAGCTCAAAAGAACTTTTAAAGATCATCATACAAGATCACATGAAGTGTTTTTCACTATGCTTGGTGCATGGAAAGTGCATGATAAATGATATATATCATGATCATTGCATAAGAAACAGCTTAAAGCTATTTCCCACATCCAATCTGGTGCTGTCCCCAGAAATCAAGGGGTAACATTGACATCACAAAATCCGCATGAAATAGGGAGGATAGGACAAGCACTATAGTGACCAAGAGAATTAAAAGAAAAGCCTAGAGAAGAGGTGGTGAGGAGGGGCTGGCACACACAACTACCCACTGCAGGGATAAAGCAGTGGTGCAGGCTGGAAGGCCCAGGCCACTTAGCCTAGGCCAGCTGACCATATTGCAGCCAGAGAGAGACGATCAACTGTGGTCCAGGAGAGAAGCCAAAGGTCAAAACTGGAGGCCTTTGTAGGAGCTTAAGTGGGAAAACAGGACAAGGAGACAGATGACAGGAAGATGAGGAATGGGCCAGGGAGCATGTCAGAGGCAGGTCSGGGTGATCGGTAAACTATTCAACCCAGAGGCTGCGCCCCACATGGGTGTGTCAGGGCTCCATTTCCATGTGTGCAAGCTGTGTGGTGTGGGAAAGGACTGACAGCTCAAAGCAGCAGCACAGGACGGGGCAGGGAACCACTGCCAAAACAGTGCTGATGGGAGCAGAGTCAAAGCATGTCAAAGGCAACAATTCCCAGCCACATCATCGGGAACAGAGGTGGAAGCCAGAGAGCAAGGACACTGGGGACCAGCACCAGCTGCTGAGATGGGAAAACTGGACATTCAAGGACAGATCATGTGAAGCACTCCAGGATCCAGTCARGGAAGGAGAGAAAAGGAGGGATCAGGAGAAGCTGAGCTCTTCACTTCTAAGCTGCTTCCTATGGATTGCTGTCTCTAGGCTTCTGGGACCAGGAAAAGGATTCATTCACGTAGCCATTTAACAAATCCTTATTGAGTTATTACTAGATGCTGGACATTGTTCTAAGCATTGGGAAATATCACAATTTAAAAAAAAACCTGATTTGGTCCTTTTCCTCCAATACCGTATTTTTAAAAAACAAAAGCACAGACAAAAAAAAAAATAAGCAAACAGATGAAATAATTTTAGATGGGGGAAAGTGCTATAAAGCAATTATAAGGTAATGTAAGAGAAAGTGATGGGAATGAATGCTTGAAGCCTGCTCAAATTTTCTCCAAGCCTGAAAATTGATCTGAAAATTACTTGTCAATTTTTACCTTCATTCCTTCAACATGCATTGAGTATCTATCATGTTCCAGACACTGTGCTAGGCACAGGATATGTGACATAATATAGACACTGACAACTGACTACAAACCAAGGATAAGCCAGTGAGTGAGTCCAAATTTTAGACTCAAGAACAGAATCTAATATTTAATGTTGATTCCTTTTAAATTATACAAAGGATTATTTATAATGGCTAAGATGTAGAAGCAACCCAGTCTTCATTGCTACACAAATGGATAAAGAAAATATGACATAGATATATAACAAAATATTTTTCTGCTATACAATGTACAGTTTAAAATGTGCACTTAAAAATTTAGGAAGGGAGTAGAACTTGTTCATGTTAAGGGTTTTTATTCCCTGAAGATGGATATGTTTGTTACTTTTATTTTGATAATGGTATAATGGGTTTTAGCATATCTCCAAACTCAGAAAACTATACACATTAAGTATGAACAGTTCTTTGTTTATCAATTATCTTTCAATAAAGCTGTTTCTAGAAAATTAAAAAAAAATAAAGTTAGTTATTTTAACGATAATGCCTATTGTTATTTTGGTTGTGCTGATAAGTGTAATATGTAATCATACAAATTTAAATGTGATAACATATTCTTATGAAATGTATAGTAGTATATATTTTCCTTTGTAATTGAGTAATGGGTGCTATTATGTTTTAAGTAATAATCATGTTTTGATTTTTTTGTTCTTAAACTTTTTAAATTGATTTTTTAAATTATTTTCTATTCTAATAGATTTATAATGGTCATAGATTAAAGCAAAATATTAAGCAGGTATAAGAACTGTTAATATGAATAATTAACAAACGCACATATTTCATTTTGCAGCTAGGTGACTTTTATCTAGAACTTCACTGGGATTTTCAGAGCTGGGGTAAGAGTATGCTGTTTTATTGTACAATATTTATTTGTGCAGAGATACAAGTGAAAAAAATTATTAGAAATGTTATCACAACAATTTTGATACTTGTTCTAATGGAAATTATTTTTCATGACATTGAAAATAATAATTAAAAGCTCTGTGGCAATAATTAAACCAATGCGATCAGCAGCTTTCATAATTGTTTTTAAGGTTGAAATTTTACTTAAAAAATTTTTTTAAATAAAAGATAGGGTTAAAAATTTGAGTAATTTAATGTAAAGAATTTTAATTTAATACAAGGAATTTAAAAAAATGTAGTCCATGAAGATTTGGATTTAATAAGCTTATTATATTTTTAAAAGCATCTGAATTAACTTTTATATTGTAAAATCATTTGAATGCTCAGTGATACTTATCTCCCAAATAATCATAGAAATAAACCGTATAGTGACAAATATATGAGGCATATTCCATTTTATATAATTTTGTATGTTATATAATGTCTGTGTATATGTATATTTATTWTTATTATTATTTTTACAATACTGGGGATTCAATCCAGTGACACTTTATTACAGAGCTACACTTCAGCCCATTTATTACTTTTTATTTGAGATAGAATCTTGTTAAGTTGCCAAGGTTAGCCTCAAACTTGGGATCCTCCTGCCAAGAGTATCTGGGTTTATAGTGTATGCTACTGTGTCCTGTTCATGAAAAAGTAAATACAGCCATAAATTTGAAGATCTCCAAGTTAGACTGAATTTTCTCATCTGTAGAGATTCAAGTCTTGCCAGTGATCCTAAACTGGGTTGTCTCTTGAATATGTTGGCTCCTTGACTGATTATCTTCATGATGTTAGTTGTTTGAATTCTAAAATTGTCAGTTGCTGAACAAAATTGTTAAAAATTTAAATATAAATACATGTAATCACCCCTGCTTTATATTTTTATTTAGTTATTAAAATACATTATAAATTTTGCATAGTCAAATTTATGACATAACCACTGAGGTACTTGTAAAAAGTATATCATCTTTGAGAACTTGATTTTGACATATGAAAGTCAGCACATCTGTTTCATTGCTGAAAAGGATTTTAAGTTGGGTGTGGTGGCTCAGCTCCTCAGGTGACTAAGACAGGAGGATTGCAAGTTTGTAACCAGCCTCAATAATTTAGTGAGGCCTTAAGCAACCAGCAAGACCTGGGGGTGTATATCAGTGGTAGGGCACCCTGTGTTCAATTCTCAGTACCAACAAAAAAAGAAGACAACACTAAATAAAAAGGATTTTAGTTGTTGAACGTCAAAACTGTATCTGATAATTAAGATATCATATGTAATTCTAAAAACTTAACCCTTTGGTATCTATTTTGCTTTACATTAAAAAAAAACGGGGTAATCTGTTATTAGATTTGATGTTTAAGCCTTTTTTAGACTTTGAGAATGTTTCTTCCCTTTATCAAAACCTAGTGTGTGTGTGTGTGTGTGTGTGTGTATGTATGGGTGTATGTATGTATAAGGGAAACCAGAAATAGGGAGAGCTAAGAAGTATTGAGATCTGGGTAAATTTAATTTTGAGATAGTAGAGCATACTTACTTTTTCTCTTGTTATTTACATTCACTTTTTGGAGAAACTAGTCCAGGATTTAATCTCAAGTTTGAAGACAAATGAACTATTCCAGCCTGAGGTTTGAACTGGAGTCAGTACTGTTTTCTAAGTATTTAGCTTGGCATGATATCATATGTGTTTCCTGAGCTTCAATTTCTTCTTTTTTTAAACATGTAGATAATAGTAACTACCTATTGCTTATAAACACATACAAGTATACACAAACTTATATGTGCATATACATGTGTTATTGGTTGAATTTCAAGAATTTTGTGCTTCACATTTTCTTTCATCATTTTGACATAGCAGTTTTTGATAGCCTGTGATGCAGATTTAAGTAGGATAATAGCTTTTATTTCCCCCCAAATAGCCAGTAAATAATAAAAAAAAGTCAGAATAGCTTGTGATAAAATATGAGTTATAGAAAACAACATTGTAGTATAGAAAGCTATAGGTAAATACTATGAATTCCACTTTATAGTGGAATTTTGTACAGTGAATAAATAACCAAGGCACATGTTTGGGATTCAGACTTATATTCAGCTATCTTGCTTCCATGATGTGTCTATACACATCACTTTTCTGCTATATTTACAAGTTATATTTAAAAGATCATTTAGGACCCAGATCCCTTTATTTTAACTATTTGGATGGTTTAGTTACCATAGTGTATTGTTACTCATCTATAATACCATGCAGTATGTATTTAAGAGTTACCTTATATGGACTCTGCTACTCTTGTATGTTTGTGGGAGAGGTAAGGACACAGTAAATAATACAGAAATTACAATTAAGTAGTAGCCACTTGAYGCTTTGTGTATTACATTCATTATTAATCGGAAAATGCCATTTTAAAGGAAATGATTATAATTTGGTGAATTGGTGAAATGTTTATATTAGTCTTCTTTTAATTGTAAAGTTTATAAATGTCTCAGAATTTACTTTTTTCCTTTTGTTTTTTTAAATATAGTGCCTTTACTTTCCCGAATTCTGCCTTCTGACACATGTAAAATATATAAACAAGGTATTAATATCAGGTAAGGTGATATGATTATTTTTTCCTTGAGTAAAAGAAAATTGAGATTTGGAGGAAACTTTTCCTCCTGTAATCCTAGCTTACATGTGCTTAATAACTTAAAAATAAATAAGATGCTATAATATGTTTAATTAATTTTATTCATTTGAGACCTATTACAGACAAAAATCTTGACTTTAATCAAGATAGTTGCTTTAGCAACTAGTTTTATTCAACAACAAACTATCCAGCAGATAAACATGAAGACCATGATATATTTTATATATATATATATGTATATATATATTATTTACATATATATATTATTTATATATATATATATATAAATAATAAAATTTTGTTTATCTACATCTCCACAGATCTCCAGATTATTAATTTGGGTATTTTAGGGATCTATACCTAGACTAAATACTTTGAAGGAATCATTTCATATAAACTTCTTTCTAGATGAGAAAGCTCAGAGATGTCAAATTTTTGTTTTGTTGATCCGTATACTTTTCTTTTTAAAGAGAGAGAGAGAGACTTTTTTAATATTTTTTAGTTTTCGGTGAACACAACATCTTTATTTTATTTTTTATGTGGTGCTGAGGATCGAACCCAGTGCCCTGCGCACGCTAAGCGAGCACGCTACCACTTGAGTCACATCCCCAGCTCAATCCATATATTTTTCAGGCTGTGGAGATGTGGTCTGGGAAAGAGATTGATAGTCTGAATCTGGTAGTAGGTTAAGAGATTTGTAGTAGGTTAAAGGTTGATTAAATTTGAAGGATGAAGTAAGGTTTAGTATCAGATGATTAAGCATAAAATGGGTGTAGATCAAAAGGGTCATTCTAAATCTAGGAATATAGTCCATATATTTTGCTCTACCCATCTTAAATACTCCGCTGAGATAGTAACATTTTAAAGGGATCAAAGAATGTTTGGTCTCTTTTCCTTTTCTGTTTTTCCCTGTGGAAGTAAYTTTTTGAGGAGCTGTAACAAAGGAAATGGTAGAAAACAAAGGGAAATATTTCAGCAGTATGGAAACACTTTTTTTCTTGATGAGTTAATGAAGTATGTATTCAGAAAAGTAAAATGTAGATAAAATGGAATATGTATTTAAATGGTTTTTAAAACTAAAATATTTTAAATTTAACTTGCTTATAGGTTTAGATTGAAATATATTAGAATCTTAGTTTGAGTTTAGAAGACATAAAACTTGTGTAATTATTAATGAAGTTTTATTTGTCAGTTTCTCACCTACCTGTATCTTTCACAGGCTTGATACAACTCTCATAGATTTTACTGACATGAAGTGCCAACGAGGGGATTTAAGCTTCATTTTCAATGGGGATGCGGCACCCTCTGAATCTTTTGTTGTATTAGACAATGAACAGAAAGTTTATCAGCGAATACACCATGAGGTGAGCTGTTGTCTTATCAATATTTTTCTAAATGGTTAAAAAAATGTATTTAGCCAAGTGTCCATTGTAATTGCTTTAAAAGTATAAGATATAATTGAGTTGATTTATTCTCAAAAAGTTCCATTTCCTTACAACTAGCCTTTTTTTTCGTCCCCATGATCTGGTCTACATTTTGACCAATCCATTAARTCTCTTTGCTCAGAATTCACTGATTATCTCCTCAATCAATGAATTTCTATTTCTTTTAGTTCTTATTTGTAGTTTTCATTTGTTGAACCTCTGCTGTTTTTTTTTTTCCTTCTTTTTTTTTTTTTTTGTGGTATAGGGGTATAGGGTATTGATCTCAGGGGTCCTTGATACTGAGCCACATCCCCCAACCCCATTTTGTATTTTATAGAGACAGGGACTCACTGAGTTGCTTAGTGCCTCACTTTTGCAGAGCTTGGCTTGAACTCTCCATCCTCCTGCCTCAGCCTCTCAAGCTACTGGGATTATAGGCATGTGCTCCCATGCCTGGCTTTTTGCTGTTTTACTATTTATCACTTTGATTTCTTCTAATGTTTCTGATTTTCTTTATCTCCTTAGTATGGACCCCTCTCTTGCTGTTTCTGCATTCTTTTACTCTCTTTGGCTAACCTTTTCTTTCTCTTTTCCCCCTCAGCATTATCATACCCTCTGGTGTATCATCTTTTTATGTTGGTATTGCTTCACAACCAACGTTTACAAACGATATGCATCATCTTTATTTTTTGTTCCCTTTTCCTTCTGTGTTCTAAAAAAGCTTTTCCAGGATCTAGGTCATTGATTTTAAGTCAACATTGTTTTTTTGAGGGGTGGCTGGGAGGGCATCACTGGTGTTTTTATTTTGTCTTATTTTTTCATCTGTGGCTCATTCTTCAGTATCTCATAGTTTAGACCTTCATATTGCTGTATCTACTTACAAGACCTTAATTACTTTGGGGTATGTATACTACTGAAATAAATAGGTTCCTAACTGACATTATACAATCAAGATTTAGAATGAAAGGAGAAGAAAAAAGGGTATTTCTTATAGGAGAAATAGAATGAGTAAAGTCAGAGAAACAGAAAGATTGTTTTCAGGGAAGGTTTCTCCTATGAAATGAGAAAGGCCTTAAAAAGACAGATAATTTAGGGTCTGCTGCAATTGGCAAGAGAATGTCACAGATTCTTAAGGTATTTTAATCAAAAAGTAATTCATGTGCATTGTTCTTGGGTATTTTACTTTTCATCTTCCTCAAATATTTATCAAGGACCTAATAAAAGACTAGACATTGCTAGGTGCTATGAATAGTATTATCATTAATAGTGTATATCAATTACTACCATATATAAAGTGCTAATTGACAGTGTTCAAGGATTACAAGTGTTTAACAGTTTTCCTCATAAACTTCTTACATAACCTGCCAAATAAGTTAGTATCTCCATTTTACAGGTAAGAAAATTAAGGCTTATGGCATTTAAATGAGAGCTCAAAAAATTAACACAACTAACATGCAAGATGAATTGGAAAAGGGAAAAAATTGAAGGCAGGGAAATTATTTGTGAATATTTTAGAGTTATTCATTGGAGAGGTGATGAGATACTAGTATAGTATAGTGAATAGTTAAATTTTTTTTTTTTTAATATTTATTTTTTAGTTGTCGGTGGACACAACATCTTTGTTTGTATGTGGTGCTGAGGATCGAACCCGGGCCACAAGCATGCCAGGCGAGCGCGCTACCACTTGAGCCACATCCCCAGCCCAATGAATAGTTAAATTATGACATCTATTTTTAATATGGCCATTGTAGAAATTTCTAATAACTTAAGTGTAATAAATTAATAAGAGGAAACATGGCTGAGTGTAGTGAAGCTGGCTTGAAGAATGGATGATAGCAGAATCATTGATAGGACTGGAACATTTGGAAAAGGAAATAGGCTTGGGATTTTAAAGAATGTGCATCTTGAGCCTGTTGCTAAAACCATTGTACTTGTTAGAACTCTCTCTTTATTAAATTTCTTGGAAGTATTTGCTTTTGGTTTTTGGAATTTTTGTCTTCTTTGGATTTGACCTTGGCTACTTGTTGCTATTTTCCAATTTTTCCTGATTTTTTCTTTACCCACTTATTTTTCTCTGCTTATCTTTTAGATATTGATGTATAGACTTTATTTTCTTGTCATTATTCCCTAAACAATATGGCAAAACAAATATTTACATTGCATTTGTTTCAGGTATTAACACATAAAGATGGGAGGATATGCATAGATTATATGCAAATATGCTGTTTTTATACAAACTGGGTCCTGTATTGAATTCCTTGTGGCTGCTGAGGGAGTACTGTACTCCCAAAGACTTTGGAGCCTGAGTCAGGAAGATCTTAAGTTTGAGACCAGCCTTAGTAACTTAGTGAGAGCCTGTCTCAAAATAAAAAAAATAAATAGGTCACAGTAATAAAAAAGCTGTCTAAAACATACTGCTGTGTTATCATATATGGATTTAATTCTGAAAAGATAAGTTAAAGGCTGGGGCGTAGCTCAGTGGCAGAGCAACCCTGGGTTTAATTTCTAATATTGTGGCCCAAAAAGAGAGAAGTAGAAAAAAGAATTTTTTTTTCTTTTCCTTTCTCTTAGAACTTTTTAAAAGACTCAGATAACAGTGATAACTTTTCAAATTAACAATATTTGACAAAAGCTAGGTTCATCTATATTTCAAGGAAATCTTTTATATGTGCATTTTATTTTATCTCATGTCTTTTAATTCTTAAGGTAATCTTTTAAAATTGTCCTACAGATCTAGATAGTTCTGAAATGGGTAATATTGTACTGTTTCTATTTCATATCTCTAACAATGTAAGAATATGTATTTCATGAGAATTTCTTTTAAAAATTCATAATTCTTCTTAGATAAGAGATATATGAAATTTGAACATCTAATTGTTTTTAGAATAACAGGAACTTTATATTTTTTAGAAGCTATCCTTATCATCTGTAACCTTTAGATAAACTTAGATTCTTATATTTAATTTTTACCAATACCCTAGGAATCAGAGATGGAAACAGAAGAAGAGGTTGACATTTTAATGAGCAGTGATATTTACTCTGCAACTTTATCAACCAAATCAATTTCTTTCACTCGTGCCCAAACTGGATGGCTTTTTCGGGAAGATAAAACAGTATGTGCAAATCTAGATTTTTAAACTTTAAAAGTTGGTATTTGATGTTGCCAAAATTGTGATCACAATGCAGAAAGAAGTAGCTTACTGAATTGTCTTCAAGTATTTTATTCTCTCTTCTTTGAATTCAGACAGGTAATTAAAATGTTGGGTTTTTGGAGTTGGAATGTATTCTTGGAGAAGCCAAGAGAGAAAGTTTAACTCATTTGAATTCTATGTTAAGGAGAATTCTTGTTGATAACTGCTTAGTTTTTACAAGATTCCATTTTATTTCAAATTCTTATTCCATAGAGAGGCCACAGTAGGGATACACTAGAATTCATTTTTCTGAATCTGTTTTGCTCTGCACTTTTAGACTTCTAAATCATTTATTCAATATTTGTTTTTCAATATTCTTTCTAAACTCAAAGTAAATTATGTTTCTACAGCATTGCCACTAAATTAAATCTTAGTGGAAGTTTTTACATCAGTGAATTGTAAATTTCTTTCCATAATTTTCATTGCATATGTCAGCAAGAGGTTATATAAAACGTTCAAAAATATATTATGAAATATATTTATACATTTTTATTCAAGGATAATAACTACAACAGGAGAAGACCAAGATTGTTTTCTAAAAATTATATATTTTTTATTATAGTAGAAATGAATATGTTTACATTGGAGAAACATAAAAATAACCTGTATTAGTTAGGATTTTTTGAGAAGCAAAATTAGCAGTAGATAGAAAGGGTAGAAGGCAGGAATAGAGAGGAGGAACAGAAAGAGAGGGAGAAGGAAGAGAGAAAGAGAAAAAATTGATTTATTTTAAGGAATTGGATCATTTGATTGTGGAAGCTGGCAGCCAGTCTGAAATGTGTATATAGCAGCAGTCCAGCTGGCTAGAAATTAAGGTAAGAGTTGATGTTGTAGTTGAGTCAAAAATTTAAAAGTTTCTAAGTTTCAATTTTATAGCAGAATTGCATTTTCTTCTGGAAACCTCTGTCTTTGCCCTTAAGACCTTCAGTTATTTAGTGTTAATTACACCTATAAAATACTTTCATAATATTTTGACTGGCTGACACCTGGGCACCTTACCCTAGCCAAATTATCATAAAATTAACCACCATACAACTTGGCATATAGTTGAAAATTCTCCCTTGACTACTCCCCATAATCCCTAAACCTCTTACTGAAGGTTATCTGTATATACCCTAACCTTTTTTTGTTTTCACACATTAATATGTACCCATGGTAGTATGTAGCTTTTTATTTAGATGTTAGGTTTCATATAAAGTGTCATTAATATTTATTTAGTTTTACAACTGGATTTTTTCACTCTTTAGAATGTGAGAAAARCCTTATTTTTACAGGTAGTACTACTTCATTCTTTTTAGCAACTGCATAGTATTTATAATATGGATATAATGTGACTTGTTTATCCAGTTGTATTTTTGGACATGTATTTCCATCCAGTTTTCTGCTGTTATGAATGATGTGTCACTATTCTTTTACATGAACTTTGCATTGTCAGTTATAGGCAACAGATATGAAATGGCTACATTAAAATTTTTATTGATATAATTTATATTTAATAAATAAATACTTTTATATGGCTTCAAAAACAGGTAATTAGGGCTGGGGTTGTGGCTCAGTGGTAGAGCGCTTGCCTAGCATGCTTGAGGCACTGTGTTTGATTCCCAGTACCACATAAAAATAAACAAATAAAATAAAGGTATTGTGTATATCTACAACTAAAAATATATTAAAAAAAAAACACTAGGTAATTACTACCCAATCACAGATATAATTCTAACTGAGCTTTAGGCTCATCAATTTCCTTTCTATTTGGCAACAAATGGCAATATAGGATTCCAGGCTGTGAGATCCTACATTGCAATCCATTTGTTGGTTTGAAGTCTTATTTATACTCTGTTCTTCTGGACAGAATTAGATGGATCACTTCAAGAGAAGATAAAAATTGAAACTGCTATTCATCTAGTATTACTGCTAAGCAGCTCAAAGCTCTTGAACAGCGTCTAGGTGATCTTCTTTAATCTTTGACAGGTAAGGAGGGAGTCAGTAATCCTTATGGTTCCCATTTTGTAGGTAGAAACTGGTGAAAAGTGCTTTGCTTTATAATGGCTGGTAAGGAGCCATTGAAGCAAGGTAGACCTGGAAACAACACTTAAGCACATAGCTTTGGAAATCAGAAAAGCAGCAAGGTGAAGATTATTTGATTTGCATGTAGGTAGAAATGGGAAGCTTGTTTTTAATAAGTTATTTATTTTTTTTCTTCTTCCCAAAATAAGCTATTTCAAACTCTAACTATCTCTGGTTTGAAAAAAGGTTAATATTAAAGGTTAATAAAAAAGGTGAAGTTAATATTAAAAGGATTAGGAAGGCTTCATTGAAATAACCCTTCCTTACTTGTCTTTAATGTCACTTGAGTTTTCCTATCCCCAGTTATAATTTAAACAATTATATTTGTAAACAAAGCTATTCTGTTATTTTTTGAAAGCACCCAGCTGCTATAACATGATGATTCTATTAGACAATAGAAAATTTGAATAGATCATTAATTCTAATTGTACTAGATTCCTATGTGAATTAAACTATTTATTTTAATTCCACTTTTTTTTTCTATCTATAAAATGGGAACAGTATTATCCCTGACCCCTCCTTGTTACTTATGATACTTAATTATTGGCTTGATAGTTTTTCAGATAGCTTTGTGCTACTTGGGAGTAGATTATAAAGAAATATTTTGTGATATTTTTGTTTAGATTTAACTCATTTRCAGATTAAGTACCACATATCTTTGTRCATTTAAAATTTTCCTTTATAAAATAGAAATCCATAATTTAAAACATTTTTAATTTAATAGTATAATTTATACTAAAGGAATATTCATTTTCACCTACATATTGCACATATGTGGAAAAATATGTATAATATGTGAAACTTTGAATATAAGACAAATTTATTTTAAGTTTTATTATTTTGGAATATTTGATTTTGTTTTAGGAAAGAGTAGGAAACTTTTTGGCAGACTTTTATCTGGTGAATGGACTTGTTTTAGAATCAAGGAAAAGAAGAGAACATCTCAGTGAAGAGGATATCCTTCGAAATAAGGCCATCATGGAGAGTTTGAGCAAAGGTGGAAACATAATGGAACAGAATTTTGAGGTATAATTTTTACTACTTCTAATTTATAGTTTTCTAAGGAGAGAGGGGATAGACTTCATTCCTTGCATTTACATAAATATACTCACAGGTTTTGTTCATTATGTATTACCTTTTATTTTTTTGTGAGTTTTCATTTTTTTATGTTATTAGCATGAAAAAGAAAAGGAAAGAAGGTGACCTTTGGTGTTTTCCTGAGTCTGTACTTGGTCCTTGATTCTTCTTTAATAAGAAGATAAAATCATTTTGTAAGCATTAAACTCAGTGTTAAATTTTATTCCATTTTCCCTTACATATAGTCTTCTGATTCACCCAAATCTGCCATTCACTTTATGAAGTCATCAGTAGCCTATACTATCTCACAAATTTTATTCAGCATCTGTTTATTGAAAGCATGTATATACAGTCATGTGACAGTAAAGAAAGGRGAGGGGAAATTAGGAAATAAAAAGATACATGAAATATAGTAACTGATCATCTTACAGCCTAATAAGAAGAATTGGATGGATTCTGAAATTTTTTTATTTTGAAAATATTAGATTTACAAGTAATTATAGAATATTACAAAAGAATTCTTAGATACACTTAAGATTCCCCAAGTATTAATATTTAATTAYATTTAAATAATACTGTTCTTAAAACTGCAGGATAGGGACTCCTTTACTAATATTATGATATTTATTTAGTGGGCCATTCTGACTTTTTTWAAAAATCAGTGACTAAGAAGTGATAGAAAAAAGTCATACCTCATCATACATGATAAGACATTATTACTTTATGAAACAATAGTTTCAAGGTTGTATGTGTTGTGTTAACATTTCTATGCATGAATGTTAGGTTGTAGTGTAAATGGAGTCACACTCATAAGAGGATTAAAAGATATTACAAGAAGACTTGAATTCCTTGAATATTTAGTTCTTCTCCTATGGTATTGTTCCAGATGGACAAATTTTCCAGAATAGTATGCCAAGTTCCAACAAATACTGTATGTATATGCCAGGAAAATATTTTAATGTTTAGAAGGTTTATGTAGTGAGTGAGTCAACCATAGTTTGAGTTCTATATAAAGTGTTTAAGTTAAAGTTGTGATGATGCCAGTTTAGTGTGAATCTTTCTCCTTCCTGCCAGATCCTGCTTTTGCTCCTCATTTTTCTTCTTGCCTTGAATTAGAGCCTCTTTTCATTCATTTATTGATCTCTTGATTAGTACGCAATGCATATATGCTCAGGAGATAGAAATAAAGATAAATAGAGGGAATAGTCTTTGACAAAGCTACCACCCTCTCCCATTGTTGACCAGACATAAAAGACCATGACTGTTCAAATTTGTGTTGTGGTTTAAATTTCATGAGGAGTTCTTCTAATAAATAAATTTGTTGTAATTATTGCTACTTTTGTTTAATATTGGCAACAAACCATTTTGGGATGATTATATGGAACAAGATTATTATGGAAGCGCAATTAATAGGTCATTTCCCAGTTGTTTCTGATGGTCTCATTTATGCTTATTTATTTATTTGTGTAGCAGTGCTGTGGATTGAATCACTGGGCACATGTTAGGAAAGTGTGCTACGCCTAAGCCTAAATGCTTTACCTTTACCCCTACATGCCCAGCTCTTATTATGATTTATATCAACTAAATTTCAAACTGCTAATCAGAAATTAAACAGTTCCATAGCACCATGAACTTTTTGGGTTCTTTTTTTTTTTTTGGTGTGTGCTTGTGTAGTACAGGGATTAAACACAGAATTGTTCTACTTCATAGCTACATCCCCAGCCCTTTTTAAATTTTATTTTGAGACACAGTCTCACTGAGTTGCAGGTGCTAACCTGGAAATTTCTGTCTCAGCCTTCCAAAGTCACTGAGATTAAAGGCCTGTGCTACYAGTGCCCAGCTGTAGTTCTTTATGCGTATTTAAATTCAGTCTGTCAATTTCTACAAAAGATGAAACATTTGGTGAGCTTTTGACTAGGTTAGTGTTGAATCTATAGATAAACCAATTGCTACACAAAAGTTTGTTTGGATTTTTTTAATTTTTAAAAAATTAAACATTGTACTTTTTTTTGTTGTTGTTATTGTTTTTGGTGGTCCTAGTGCTAACCTAGGGCCTTATGCATCATGCCAGGCAAGTCTGTGCCATTACATGCCCAGTCCCAAGCTTTTGCTTTGTGTTTGGTTTTTGTTTAGATTACATTATTTTTTGTTTTTATTGGTGTGTTATAATTATTCATGAAAGTGGAAATCTTTACATATTTATACATATACATAATAGAGCAATAAAATTTGGTCAGTTTTGTGGCCTAGTAACCAAGCTTTGTATTTTAAGATAATTGTACATATAGGTATAAGAAGTAATATAGAGATTTGTGTATGCTCCACCCAGTTTCCTCTAATGGTAACATCTAGCAAAATAGTAGTATAAGATTTCAACCAGGATGTTGGAATTCATAGTCAAGACATAGAATATTTCTATTACTACAGGATCCCTCACATTCCTCTTTTTATAGTCATACCTCCTGCTCATTTTTCCTCTCACTGTCCCTTACTCCTGTCAACCACTAATCTGTTCCTCTTTTTTTAAAAGTTGTTAATTTAAGGATGTTCTGTAAATGGAATCATATCCTAATAGGTAACCTTTTGAAATTGCCTTTGCCTTCCACTTAATATAATTCCCTGGTAATTTATMCAAGTTGTATCAATAGTTTGTTGTTTTCATTGCTGAGTAGCATGGTACTTGTTCTACTTCAGAGCTACATCCCCAGCCCTTCTTAAATTTTATTTTGAGACATGGTTTCACTGAGTTGCAGGTGCTAACCTGGAATTTTCTGTCTCAGCCTTCCAAAGTCACTGAGATTATAGGCCTGTGCTACCAGTGCCCAGCTGTAGTTCTTTATGCGTATTTAAATTCAATCTGTCAATTTCTACAAAAGATGAAACATTTGGTGAGCTTTTGACTAGGATGGTACTCAGCAATGAGTACCACAGTTTATTTAACCATTCAGCTGTTGAAGATCTGGGCTGTTTTTAATTTTTTGGCTATTATGAATTAAGCTGCTATAAATATTCACATGTAGTTTTTTTTCATTTTTCATTTGTTGTTTTTTTTAGTTATACATGACAGTAGAATGTATTTTGACATAACTATACATATGTGAAGTGTAATTTCCCATTCTTGTGGTTGTCCATGATATAAATACATGATATACGTGATATAAATAAACTAGTTGTGTGTTTATATATGAACATAGGAAAGTTATGTCCAATTCATTCTATTGTCTTTCATATTTCCATCCCTCCTCCCTTCCCTTCATTCCCTTTGTCTAATCCAGTGAATTTCCATTCTTCCCTTCTCCCACCCTKTATTGTATGTTAGCATCCACTTACCAGAACAGTCAGCCTTTGGTTCTTCGGGATTAACTTTTTTTCACTTAGCATGATTGTCTTCAGATTTATCCTTTATGGCAAATACCATAATTTCATTCTTCTTTTTGACAGAGTAATAGTCCAAGGTGTATATACCATATTTTCTTTATCCATTCATCTGTTGAAGGGCACTTAATTGGTTCCATARCTACTGTGAATTGAGCTGCCGTAAATATTGATGTGGCTGCATTACTGTAGTATGCTGATTTTACATGTAGGTTTTTGTGTGAATATAATTCTCTATTTCTTTGGGGTAAATGCCTAAGAGTGAAGTTGCTGTGTCATATGGTAATTTAGTTTTATAAGAAAACTGCCAAAATGTTTTCTGGCTTCTGTTTTTATCAGCAGTTTATGAATCATCCAGTTTTTCCAGATCCTTGCTTGCTTTGTGTATGTGTGTGTGTGTGTGTGTGTGTGTGTGTGTATATATATATATATATTTTTTTTTTGGTATCACCCATTCTGACAGTGTACAGTGCTACCTCATTGTGATTCTAATTGTATTTTCCTAATGCCTAGGGATATTGAATATTCTTCTTTTGATGTGCTTATTTTCCACTGTATATGTTTTTCAGTGACAAGTGTTCCTTTCTTTTGCCCATTTTCTAATTGGATTATTTGTTTTCCATTTTTTTTTTTTTTTTTGTATTGGTTATTGAACCTAGCACACTTTACCACAGAAGTACATTCCCAAAGATGCAAGATCTTTCTCAGTTGCTGAGGCTAGGCATTATCTTCCTGTCTCAGCCTCCTGAGTTGCTGAGATTTTATAGGCATGTGCCACTGTGCCCTGAAGCTAAATTGATGTTTAAAGAAATTAAACTTGTGTTCTACCACTGAGCCACAGAAACATTTTAGACGATTGAATCGTTGAGTGAATGGTATTATTACTTTGATACTAGTATTCATTAGAAAAAAATTAGTAATATTTCTATTAGAGCTTGAATCACCAGGGTACTGACTTGGTCCTGGAAGAAACCTCTTTAAGTATTATATTGAAGAAATTAAGGAGATTGGTGATTTTAAATAATACAGTGTGTGTGTGTGTTTGTTTTATTCCAGTGCTGGGATAGAATCTAGGGCCTCTGGTATGCTAACAGGTGCTCTCTAACCCTAGCACCCAGTTTACTATATGTTTTAATTTTATATTTTAAACATTTAACATTTTTCTTTTTTCACCCAGCCTCCTCCCCTTCTCTTTATTTCTCTTTTATATTTTGGCAGCCTGTTCGAAGACAGTCCCTTACCCCTCCTCCTCAGAACACTATTACATGGGAAGAATATATATCTGCTGAAAATGGAAAGTAGGTGGATTTTTATGTTTTCTTTGGTTTTTAGAAAGAATAATTTGTAAAAACAGAATGTGTGACTAGGTATAAAAATTTATTTTAGAGAGATAATTAATATATTGTTTGAAGCAGTGTTTTTTAACTTAGAAAATCATGAGGAAGAATATACTGAATCATGTATACTCTAGATTGTAGAGCCTTCTTTCTACATTCCTCCTGCCAATTTATGCATCCCCCACTGCCCACCCACCCCCCAAAAAACTGTAGTATTTGTTTTAAGGAAATATATATAACTGCACAATGTTGTTTCTTATTTGAAATTTTCCTTTGTATGATGAACTTTTGTGTTTAGTCATTGCCCTGATTCTTTAGCATGGTGTATAATTCATTATTTGTGTCCTGTTTGCCTTTCCAAACTTATCTTCTGTTATTACCTTTTTGCTTCAACTTATACTAGACCTTTACTTCTGGGTGTTGTAGTGCATGCCTGCAATCCCAGCAATTCATAGATTGAGGCAAGAGGATTGCAAGGTCAAGACCCACCTGAGCAACTTAGTAAGACCCTGTCTCGAAATGAAAACTGAAAGTGGGGCGTGATGATGCACTGCTTTAATCCCAATGGCTAGGGAAGCTGAGGCATGAGGATGGAAGGTTCGAAGCCAGCCTCAGCAATTTAGCGAGACTGTGAGCAACCTAGTGAGATCTTGTCTCAAAATTAAAAATAAATAAAAAGGACTGAGCATGTATTTCAGTGGTTAAGCACCCTGGATTTAATCCCTTAAAATATATATATATGTATGTATGTATGTGTGTGATATTTCCCCTAAAATAAATAAATAAAAATGAAAATAAAAAGGACTGAGTATGTAGCACTGTGGTAGATAGAGCACCCCTGGATTAACTCCCCAGTACTGCAAAAAAAAAAAAAAAATCTTTTATATTACTAGTACTTAGTATAGTAGTTAACCTAACTTGTATTCAGTATGTATTTATGTATTGAAAGAGTGATGAATGGATAAAGAAAGTGTCACCTACCTCCATGCTTAGAAGCCATCATCATTTTGACATTCTTATTAAAAAGCTTCCTATCTTCTCCATAATGTTTCTGTCTGAATAGTCTATAGTGTTTAACATATTTTATGAGAAGCCATTAGTTTGAACTAGCCTCTCACAGTAGGCTCCAGAAGATCACACAAACTCAAGAGTATATGCCACCTAATCAAACTGAACTTTGAAAAAATAACTGAGGAAATTCCAGGCAACCTGAGTTAATGTAAAATAGGAAAGTCCCCACTGTTTAAACCCTGTAAGGAAAATAGCTTTGAAACTATCAATCTACCTTTTGTCTTGCTTTCTTTTGCACATTTGTGTCTATAAAACCAAACTCTGCTCAGCTTGTTACCAAACTGCACAAGATTCCACCAGTGGAGGAAGATGTTAGGCGAAATACTCTCTGTTCCATGAATATTTGGTCCAGTTGGTGGGAAAATAATTTTATTCAAAGCCAGTTTTGAAGGGAGATGGAAGAAACTTGTTTCAAAAGTTCCAATTTTGAAATTCCTAAAAATTAGCAGAATTGAGAGGAGGCAACTATAGTTTAGTGAGACAAAAGGTGTGAAATATACCTACATAGATTGTTAGTCTCTGTTCCACAGGAAGGGGTGCATTAGGACAAAAGGCAGTAGTTTCTGAATCTGCGGCTAAAAGGAGTTTCACAGATTTTGCCTCTTTGGAGTTCCTGGAGCCTCCTTATCACATCAAAAAGAGTCCAGATATACTGGGGCCAGCAGCCAGCATCTATATCTTCTTGGGATTGGAGTGGGTGGGGAGTGGTCTTCCAAATTCTATTTTGGGCTCATCGGAGTGCTCATGCTTGCATGTGGGGTCCAAGGAGGCAAATTAGATCTTTAAAGTTGGTATACTTTTGTCTTTTGACAGTGTTTACTATAGAATTCTTTATTCTTCTTAAGACTTCTTATTCATAAAGGCTGAGACTGTAGTAGACAGTAAACTGAATTGAGTAAGGGATTTTAAAGTTATGCAATAATACTTTTAAAAATTGTTTTTCTAGCGGTTGTCTTCCATAAAATAGTGATTATTAAAATTCAGTTATATTCAATTTGCAATTGAGGTCTAGTTATTTTTTCTGAACTTTTAGTCTTTGCTGTTTTCTTTTTGTTACCCTTATCCCATTTCTTATACATCTTATTCTCTTTTAGCATTATATTATTTCTGTAGACAGTAAGAAAAATTGAATTAATAGTGAATGTCATTTGGAATAAGTTTCCTAATATTTTCTTTTTCTCTCCCTGTAACCTCCCATTTTAGAGCTCCGCATCTGGGTAGAGAGCTGGTGTGCAAAGAGAGTAAGAAAACCTTTAAAGCCACCATAGCCATGAGCCAGGAATTTCCCTTAGGGATTGAGTCGTAAGTTTGTTATTAATTATACATGTTTATAAAGAGAGCTATTAAACCCTAAAGGCTGTAATAATATTTGCATTTGATTGTTGAGTTTGAGGTCTTTGAAATGTAAAAGCAAATAGCCATTGCTTTGATATGTATAAACCTTTAGAAATTTTTTGGTGACAAAGTATTAATATTTTTATTATTTTCTCCAGATAAATTATTGAATAGTTTAAAAAAGTTATTAAAGTAATACATGAATAAGTTTAAAAGGATGGAAGTTTATAGACCAAAAAATGGTAATTCTTTTACTGTATTTATAGTTAATAACTAATATATTTTTGTTCAGACTTGTGTTTTGCGTTTTTTTATTAAAATGGGAAATTGTCCACTATTTTGTTCTATGAGTTCCTTTATCTCTTTTAAAGTGAGTGCATTGGGTTCTTAAATCACATTTTTGTCGTCTTATTCTTTTTCCTTCTTTCTTGGTATTTTCATAGTATTGTTTTACTGCCATTTATTTTTATCATTCTCCTATGTGTAGACATTTTGTTTGTCACTATTATAAATATTTCATTTTGTTTGAATATATCCTTTAGTTTGTCACTATTATAAATATTTCATTTTGTTTGAATATATCCTTAAATCTGTACTCACCAGATGCTTCTTAAAAAAAAATCTAATTTGGAGAAATGGGATGTGAGTAGCTACAGGTCCATTTAAAAAAAAAATATTTTAAAGTTGTTGATAGACCTTTATTTATTTATATGTGGTGCTGAGAATCGAACCCAGTGCCTCACACATACCAGGAAAGTGTGCTACCACTGAGCCRTAACCCCAAGCCCTACAGCCCACTCTTGACGGAATTGTTACTTTAAGCTTTAGTAAGTGGAATGGCTATTTTTCTTCCTCGTTTCTTGTCCTTCCAGTCTGATCCAACACATCAAAAAGCAAAAAACCTGGMTTAATACATGAAAAATTTTTTTCTTGGAGAACTTAGTAGGACCCATATTTTTCAACAGTCTGTACATAGAGCATACTCCCTGATTTTTGTCCTATATGTAAACTTTAGAAAAATGTGAGAAGGAATTAACCACATGTACAAGTTGGCCATAATACATTATATCTAGGACCCAGTGACTCCATGATGTATCAGTTTTATAGTCTATGAACTATTGAAGAAGAAAATGTAGCTAATTTTCTGGTGACATCAATTTTAGGAATTATCCAAATTTCAGAAATGTTTTGTGAAGAAATTGGGTTTCTTACTGAGATAAGATGTGTCAGTTGTAACCACTATTCCTGAAAAAAAGTAAAATAAGGAATACTACTTTCAAAAGCCATACAACAAAATCATTCCGAAATTAAACACAGGTAAAGGGACCAAAGAAAATTTTCTGTAAATACTATGGAAAAACATATAAAAGACATGAAATCAACATACTAGACCACTCTAAGATGAGGTGAAAGAATAGAATGAAATGAAAAGGAGATTGTAAAGCTAAAGAGAAATTGATTGAGCATGAAACGACACTATTACAAATAAACACATTAGAAACAACAATAAGAGAGTAGAGGTGACTGAAATTTTGAGAGGTTACAATGAATCTAAGAACACATGAAAGGAGTTAAAGAAAACAGTAGATATGGAGGACATAGATGATTCAACATAAGAATCATTGGTGTTCCCTTTAAATAGAAAATCTTCAAAAGGTAGCTGAAATAATATTCAAAATATTATAGAGGAATATTTCTCTGTAACAAAGAACTGAATCTGTAAGATAAACATTAAGTTATAAGAAAAGTGAATCATCAATAAAATTATCCGATTAAACTATTGAACTTCAATTGTTAATAAAGTAATTGAAAGGCATCAAGACAGAAAATGGGTAAAGTCAGCCTGGTCTTACATCTCCCCACCCCCAAATTTTTGACATTTATAAAAAAAAGCATATTGTAATCTGATAGTATTTCTAGCTGTCACTTATATACAATGCAACTGAAGATATTCTCAGACACAAAAAAAATTTAAGGAGTATAGCAGCTATAGGCCTTTGTTGAAAGAAAAATACTACAACTTGAAAATGAAATCCCAAGATGGGCAGAGTGGCACATGCCTATAATCCCAGTGACTTGGGAGTCTGAGGCAGGAGGATCACAAGTTCGAGGCCAGTGAGACCCTGTCTCAAAATAAAATGAAAAAAAGCGGGCTGGGGAGATGATTCAGTTGGTAGAGTGCTTGCCTCACACGCACAAGGCCCTGGATTCAATCTCCAGCAACAACAACAACAAMAAMAAAAAAAAAAAAAAAAGGAAGAAAGAAAGGATTGGGCATGTACTCAAAAGTAGAATGAGTTTTATCCCCAGTACTGCCCTGCCCCACCCCCCAAAATACCAGAAAGAAATCCATTTAACCAGAAAATGAAAGGAGAAATTGTAATATAGTGAGTAGTGAGATACAGAATTCTAAGAGGTGTGAAATTGTAAGTCAGAGGAAAAAGATAGATAATCTGAAACATATGAGTGAAATTTCCCTTTAAAGACAAAAACACTATTTATCAAATAGGCAAGAATTGAAGGAATATTAAGCACACAAGAGCCATTCACACATAATTGATAGACACTTATTAAAGAAATCAGTAATTCTGTAGACTTCAACAAGGAAACAATAAGTCTGTAATCCATTTAAATAAGGACCTAATATCAAACAACTATGAAAACTATGGCTGGAGAAACAAAAGTCATAAAATTTGCACAGTAAAAAGAAAATTAAAAATCCAGGATGCAGAAAGTGTGTGATTTCCTCATTCCTAAGATCTGAAAGTCAGTATTACTTAGTTTGAAGCATGTAGTTAAATGCAACAAARGAGCAACAGAAATAATATTTTGAACAATGAAATATTTTTTCTTCTTCCATTTTTCAGATTATTGAATGTTTTAGAAGTAATAGCTCCCTTCAAGCACTTTAACAAGCTTAGAGAATTTGTTCAGATGAAGCTTCCTCCAGGCTTTCCTGTAAAATTAGGTAAGAAAAAAATTTGGATGTAATTTTAGTGTCTATTTGAAATATGCAGTTGTTTATTTAAATTTAATAAGAAGTATGTTTTAAAAGAAAGCACATTTATTAGTTGCTTACATTTTTATAAAGTTTTTCTTTACTTAGGTACATTGATCTATTAATCATGCATATAAAGTGCCTTATGGGAGTTCTAATTCTATGTGATTCAAATGAAATATAAGGGATGTTTCATACAAGAAGTGAATAACTAATGATATAGAGTAATAATGTGAAATAGAGAGATTGAAGTTTAGTCCAAATTTTCATCATACTTCTTAAGGTTTTGCTTATTAACAAATGTTTTTGGAGAGAGCAATCATTCAAAAAAGAAGGAATCACACATTTTATTTTTCAATCCTAATGTTTAACCTTAATTGTATCTTAAGCAATGATCTTTAGAAAAAGGAAACATTTTTTTTAAACATTTTTTATTTTTCTAACTTAGAAAATGGAACAAAGACCATTTTAAATCATTTTAGGAATTTAAGCCTAGAAGTAACATTAAGCTTCAGGTAGAGCCTTTAATGCCATCCAGTCATCTAGCCAGCCACCCAATATTTAATGAATCTTTGCTATGTGACAGATACTCTTTTCAGGGATAGGAGAAAGCAAAAGTTCTTGTCCTTGCATATCTTGTAGTGGGAGAGAAAAATTAGATAGTAAATGGGGTCTTTATTTAATTTCTCAGATGTATTTGATCTTGTTTCATTCCATGTTTTTTTTTTTTTTAAATTTTTGATTGTAGATAGACACAATACCTTTATCTTATTTAGTTTTTTATGTGATGCTGAGGATTGAGCCCAGTGCCTCACATATGCGMTAGGCACTCTACCACTGAGCCACAACCCCATTCATTCCATGTTTTTAAAAATCCCATAATAATTACTCAGAATGCTTTACTCTCAGAGATAATGTTTTCATTGCTAAAAATTAAATCTATCCATTTCAACTTTCCAGACTTAAGCCATATTTTTGGATTAAAATTAAATTTAAAATGATTTTCACAATGCTATGCCAGTTGTCCTTTGCATTAAAAAAGCACTGGCAACCCAGTATCTGATTTGGAGGAATCAGTGATAAGATTTTGAAAGCTAAAGCTAAAGGCTGTATTTTCTAGTTTTAAATAAGGGATGGCTGAGCATTTCTACAGAAGCTTGAAACTCCGTTTCTCTTTTCCATGGCCAGAAAGGATTCGTCTCTATTACAGTGACAAACTAGGACAAAGGACAGGGGTTAAATAAAAGGAAATTCCAAGAAGCTATTCCTGCATTCACATTTAATTATAAGTTCCAAACCTAAATCAAACTTGATAATGCAATGTAGATTTTTATGCAAAATAATGACTTTGATTGTATGAGAAGGAAAAAACTTTGCAATACTTTTTTGCAGGCATTCTCTGACATAGATCCACAGTCTTAACAAGGTATATATATAATCTTTTGCTGCTATACTTTAAAAAAGTTATAGGGATTTATTTATTTTGTTTGTTTGACCTTCTCTTGAACCAGCCTTGTTTAACCCCATTCCTTGTTTAACCCCATTTCTGGCTCTATTTTTAGGATAAAAACTACAATTGTGAGAAAATTTTAACAAGTCGCAATTGTTGTTTTCAAAATTAGTCAAAACTTTATATATTGGTTATGAGTGATCTTTTCTTATATTTGCTGTTTTTCTTGTTTTGCTTTAGGGCTAAATTTGAATTTTTTTTWAATCAAATCTTCATTTTCCCCCTCTTACTTTTTATAATTCCAAACAGAAGACTTTTATTTCCTGTTTTAGAAAAAAAGACTATAAGAAGAGACCTCTCCTTACTGTTCTCAGTCCCCCTGTCTTTTCCTCCATCTTTCCTATCTATCTCAGTGGAAATGATGTTCTTCTTCATAGTTTAAATAATCTTTTCATTTGTGCTACGTATCTGTTCTTCCAGTTTTTTTAGTGTGCTGYTGTTCATATTTCTGTTTTACCTCACAGCCCGCTTTCTACCATCTTTTTCCTATTAGTTTTTTACTACTTTTTTCCTTCAATTCTTTCAACCTTACAAAGTTCAACCACCCAACTTAAAAAAAGTATTTTGTAACTTTACTTTACTCAGCTCTTGCTTTAATTCTTACTTTCCATAGCTAAGCTGTTTGGATGTCTACTTTTATCTCTGTATTATTACTTCCTATTTACAATTAAATTCTAAATGGAAGAAGGTAAAGGGACATAAATGAGGAAAGGATTCTCTACTTCACTTGATAGGGGTAAAATGATGACACTAGGAAACTATGATAAATTAAATGTGTGTAATACATATCGAGAGCAATCACTAAAGATGGTTTATRAAGAGAGAAACTGAAAAACACTAGAGATAATTGTCAAGTACCTTAAGGAAGGCAAGAAAAAGAAACAAACAAACCAGAATAAACAGAAAACAAAATAAAATGACAAACTTAAGTCTGAACATATTAATATACTATTAAAAATAAGTGGTCTAAGAGGAGAATTTAAAAGATAGTAATTGCTAAAGTAGGATGTGATGGGGCTGAGGTTGTGGCTCAGTGGTAGAGCGCTCTCCTCGCATGTGCAAGGCCCTGGGTTCGATCCTCAGCACCACATACAAATAAATAAAATAAGTGTTTAAAAAAAATCAATGAAACTATTAAAAAAAAAAAAAAAGAATGCACATTAAAGTAGGACGTGACCTAGGCCCAKCGGCACAGGAGGCCAAGACGGGAAGATTGCAAGTTCAAAGCCAGCCTCAGCAGTGAGTAGGCGCCTAGCAACTCAGTGGGACCTTGTCTATAAATAAAATACAAARTAGGGCTGGGGATGTGGCTCAGTGATTTGAGTGCCCATGAGTTCAATCCCTAGTACCACCCCCAAAAAAACATGACCCAGGGACTTGGGGGTATAGTTAAGTGATAGAGTGCTTGCCTAACATGCATAAATCTCTGGATTTGATTTGCACCACCAGAAAAAATAAGGGAATAAAAGAACCCAAGAATCCAGAGCAATGGACAGTGGCATTGTGCTTATAATCCCAGTTTCTTAGGAAGCTGAAGGAGAAGGATCACTTGAGCCCAGGAGTTTAAGGCCCACCCGGGCAATGAAGTGAGACTCTGTCTCTAAAAACAAAACAAAAATTAAGACCTATAGACTATCTTCAAGAGACTTAAAATGTAATGTTAAAGGAAGCTTAAAAGTGAAAGGATGGGAAAAGATATATCATGCAAACACTATTCAAAGGAAATCAGAGCTGGTTATATTAAAATTAAATAGAGTAGATTTCAAAGCAAAGGAAATTACCAGACACAGAGAAGGACATTATATAGTGATAAAAGGATCATCCCAGGAGGAAGACATTTATGGAACATTCCAGTTAACATCACCAGAATTCATATTAGTTTCAAGTGCTCATGGAGCATATACTAGGGTAGGCTATGTGATGCATAAAGGAAACCTGAGTAAAAAATATGAAAGAAGAGTCATACATAGTCCATTCTGAACATAATGGAATTGACCTTGAAACTAATAACAGAAAAAAGGAGAATTTCCAAACAGTTGGAAACTCAAAAATGGTCTTTTAAGTAATCTATATGTTAAAGGAAAAGTTTCAGGGGAAATATAACAGTGCATTGAGCTTGAATGAAAATGAAATTAAATGTAGTAAAATTGTGGAACATAGATAAAGCAGTGCTGAGGGGGAAATGTTAGAGCACTAAATCCACATATTAAGAAAGAGGAGGCTCAAGCAAAGAAAATTTAAAACAAGCAAAAAAAAAAAAAAAAAGAAGAAGAAGAAAGAGGAGGCGGGTACAGTGGCATGCACTTGCAATCCCAGCAGTTTGAGAGGCTGAGTTAGGAGGATCTTATGTTCAAAGCCCGCATCAGCAACATAGGGATACCCTAAAGAACTTAGTGAGACCCTGTCTCAAAACAAAAAATAAAAAGGGCTGGGAATGTAGCTCAGTGGTAGAGCGTCCCTGGGTTCAATCCCAGTACCCAAAAGCAGGGGTGGGGGGAAAGGAAGACTGAAAATTATTTGTCTATTTCAATAACTTAAAAGAAAAGAGCAAAATAAATCCAAAGCAAGCAGAGGAAGGAAATAATAAAGAGTAGAAATCAGAGAAAACAGAAAAGTTAGTGAAGCAAAGTGTTCATTCTTTGAAAACAAATAATTGATAGACTTATAGAAAGACTGATAAGAAAAACCAAATTCCTGGGCTGGGGATGTGGCTCAAGCGGTAGCGCGCTCACCTAGCATGCTTGCAGCCTGGGGTTCGATCCTCAGCACCACATACAAACAAAGATGTTGTGTCTGCCGATAACTGAAAAATAAATATTAAAATTTGCTCTCTCTCTCTCTTTTTTAAAAAAAAGAAAAACCAAATTCCTCACAAAAGGAATGAAATGGTATAGCACTACAGACCTTGAAGAAATAAAAARCAAATAATTGTATTAGGGAAAGAAAGTAAATAAAAGGCATTTACAGTAGAAAATAAGAAATAAAACTTTCCCTAATAACAAATTACATGATTCTATAGGTAGAACAACTTATAAAGATTCTATAAAAAACCCAGCAGCCGTAAGTTTATTGGGGTTATAGGATACAGGTTAAACATAAAATGTCAGTCATATTTCTACATATTAACAAACATACGGACCTCAAAAGTATAAGTTAAATACCAATTATAATCACTTAAAAACAGGAAATAATATAAGCAAGATTATTTCTAAAGTTTACATGGAAAGTCAAAGCTTTGAACTAGAATACCTGTATTAATTTTACTAAGACTGCCATAACAAACCACCACAAACTGCCTTCAACAAAAATAATTTTGGTGTTGTACAGTTTTCTGGATGCTAAAAATCTAAGATCATGGTGTCAGCAAGGTTGGTTCCTTCTGAAGGCTATGATGAAGTTTCTATTCCATACCTYCTCTTCCCTGTCTTATGATGGTTTTCCCTGTCCTTTGGAAGCATTCTAATTTCTGCCTTCATGTTCACTTAGTGTTCTCTGCATGTTTTCTAATTTCCCTTTTTTGTAAGGATTAGAAGCCATCCTAATGATAAGACAGTTAACCTCTGCAAAGATCCTTATCTCCAAACAATATCACATTGTGAGTTACTGAGAGCTGTGACTCAGTATCTTTTCTGAGAGGATAGTTCAAAACCATTAACTATACCTAAAACTTTTGAAAAAGAAATCACATTGTTTTGGTCATTTATTATATAACTATGGTGATCAATACATATGAAATCAGCTGAGGGATATACATATAGATCCACATAGCAGAATAGGGAATCCTTATAAAATGTAGCCAACTGATTTTGAAAAGCAGTTCAAAGGAGGAAACCTAGTCTTTCCTACAAATAACTACAAATAATGCTGGAGTAACTGGATATCCAACTGCCGCCCCCCCCCCCTCACCCCCCAAAAAAGAACCTGTGACTAAGTCTTTTGTTTTAGGCAAAAGTTGAAATGGATAATTGGACCTAAAATAATTGTAACTATAAAAAACGTAAAACTTCTAGGAAATAAACAACACATTATTAGGAATCTGTATTTAGGCAAAGAGTTATTAATTTTTTTAAAAGCATGATTCATAAAAGGAATAATCAATGAATCAGACTTTACCAAGTTAATTTTTTCCCTAGAAAAGTGTAGGAGTAAGAAAACAGGTTACAGAGTGGGAGAAAATATTTTTAAAACATTAATATCTAGAATATGTCAAGAACTCTGAAAACTCATCAGTAACAAAACAAGCCAATTAGAAAAGGGCAAAAGACATGAAGAGAAGAAACAGTTTACCAAAGAAGATACATAGAGGATAAGCACATGAAAAATGTTGGTTATCATTAGTTTTTGGGATATGCATTTTAAAACTGGGGTGATATATCACTTACAGCTAAGAGAATGGCTAAAATAAAGATACTATGACAACACCAGACATTTGTGAGTCAGGGTGTGGAGAAACAGGGTCACTCTTACATTACTGATGATAATGTAAAAATGGTGTGTATAGCCACTCTGAAAAATATTTTGTCTGTTTCTTAAAAACTCTCTTGCAACTACTGTATACAATCAAGCAGTTTTACTCTTATACATTTATCAGAAAAGTGATTATGTTCACAAAAACTTGTACATAAATGTTTATTTCATGTCAGCTATATCTGTAATAGCCAAAAATTAAAATTATAAATGTCTATGGCTCATTATACCAAGGAATACTATTCAGAAAGAAAAAGAATGTACTGTTAATACATGAAACAACTCAATAGGTCTTATACTGTATAATTCCATTGATTTAAAAAGTGTTTGAAGTGAAAAATCTTATAGAAATGAGGAATTTAAACTGTGCAGTGACCCACACCTGTAATCCCAGCTTCTTGGGAGGCTGAGGCAGGAAGGATCACGAGTTCAAAGCCAGCCTCAGCAATGGCGAGGCGCTAAGCAACTCAATGAGACCCTGTCTCTAAGTAAAATATTAAAAAGGACTGGGGATGTGCCTCAGTTGTTGAGCGCCCCTGTGTTCAATCCTAGGTACCAAAAAAGAAGAAAATTAAGTTTAGTGGTTGTCGGGGATTAAGGAAAGCATGGGGCATGAGGAAAATGAATGTGGCTATAAAAAGGAAACATAAAAACATCTAACTTGAGACCAACATGTGGTGATGGAAATATTAAACATCTTTTACTGTATTGTCTGTCGGTGTCCAGTTTTTCATAATGTATTTTTGTTAGATGCTACCTTTGGATAAAGGGTATTTGGGGTCTTTCTGTATTATTAGTTACAGTTGCATGTAAACCTGTAATGATCTTAAAAAGAAGGTCACTTCCTTACTTCATTGCAGATTTATCTCTTCTACTCTATGTTTATTATTGATATTCACATTGTTAAATTTAGTTTTTATCTAAATCTGTTTGACATTTTTGGAATTAGTGTCTCAGTAAATGACTGAGAGAGATTCAAATTTCCTCTTACTTCTTGGGTAGAGTACTATCTTGGATTTCTTCCTCTCTGGCTGTCTCTCCTTTTACTCCTGTCACTTTACATTATATTCTCACCATATCTGCTAAAACATACTGTACACAACTAGTCTGGTCATAATCTCCATTTGCTTTTTATTTCATCCAGAGTAAAAGCAAAGGCTTTAACTTGGTCTGGCAAACCCCATCTAATTTGACTACTTATTTCTCCCCTACCCTCATTCACTTGGCTGCAACTACACCAGCCACCTCTGCTGTTCCCAGAACCACACACTTTTCTTTTAGGGCTTTTTAAAAACTTATTGTTCCTTCTGTTTGGAATTTTCATCCTCTTGGCAACTGCATGGTTTGTTCTGATCTGTTTTTTGCTGAAAGATCCTTTCACTGAGGTTTTCCTTTCACTTTATAAAACCATTCTTACACTGGGACACTCTTCTCCCACCAGGCTTAATATTTTCTCTAGATAATTATCACACTTAATTTTTACCTATTTGATTATTCCAACCAGAGTATAATTTCCATAATGCATGGCTTTTGTTTCTTGTTTACTGATATATATCCAATGCCTGGAACCAGGGAGGGCAGGGCGAGAAGGGGGTTCAGCAATACTTTGTTTGAAAGATGATAAATACTTGGCTTCTGTCACATACTTAAGTCTTTTGTTAAAGAGAAAGAAAGCAGCTGGAGACAATATGTAAATGAATTTGTCTATTGTGTCCCAGTATTTGTGAACATTGAATTTGACTTTCATGTAATTTTCAGTTCAAGGAATATTCCCCCCCCCCATAATTTAACAATGTGAATCCTATTAAGCTCACAAGCCTTACAAAAATAACCCAGGCATTGAGCTTCAGTTTGCTGATCCATGTATTAGAACAGCATCTGTACATGGTAGGCACAGGTAATTTTTTCCCCAGAAATAACTGGAAATTCATAGTTCTTCTCATACTGATTTTTATTTGTCCAAGTTTTTTTTTTAACATGAGAATATTTCTGCAAAGAAAAAATACTAGGTTTATATCAGTATAAGTTAATTTATTATATGTCTTTTGCCAGGTGTTGTGGTGTACACCTGTAATCTGAGTGAGTTGAGAGTGAGGCAGGAGAATACAAATTTGAGGCCAACCTGGGTAGCTTAGTGAGACCTGTCTCAAAATAAAAAATAAAAAAAGGGTTGAAGATGTAGCTCATTGGTACCAATCCAGAGGAAAACTTTTTTTTTTTTTTAACTCATGTGTCTTTAACCAGATGTTTGAATTAGCATGTATAAACTTATTTCAGAATTTTAAGGGAGTTTCAGGTATTACAGATGAAATCTCTTGAGGTTCATAGTAAAATGATTTGTCAGAATCAAAACCCATTTTTTAATGATTTTTACTGTTTCTAGTAATTAGGAATAAAACTAAGAAGTCAGTGTATTTGTCCATATTTTAAAAATTTAAAATTATTATTTTTGCTACCAGGGATTGAATTCATTGGTGCTCTACCATTGAGCTATAACTCCAACCCTTTGTAAATTTTGGGATAGATAGGGTCTCCCTAAGTAAGCTTGTGTTTGCCCATTATTAATGTTAGATTTCACTGTTAATTTCAGCCAGAAATATATTGTATTTAGAAGTCAGGCTGTGTGGTATGTTATTACTCCAACTTTGATGAAACATTTTGCTCACATATTTAAGTGATAGAATGTTTGTTCTCAGTGTGTTAAAACAAAAAATGAATAATGTATTTCACTTAGGTTAGTAAGAATGAAAATAAATAAGCTCAAGAAGTGAACATAACAAATGTGCTAAATCTGAAGAAAAGATGTCAGGATGCACAAAGTAGAAAGGTATTTCTCTACCTCCAGAAAAGATTTGTGGAGTCTGGCATTATGTTCTTAAGATTGGGAAGAAATGGGATCTTAAAATTCTCAAATCTCAGTGTTGTTCTCTTCATCATCATTATCCCAACCATTCCCCAAAACACACATGCTCAGAATTAGACATATATTTAGGTTTGTCCAATTTATAAAGTATAGACTTGTCATCATTGATTATTCTGTCCACAGATATACCTGTGTTTCCCACTATCACAGCCACTGTGACTTTTCAAGAGTTTCGATATGATGAATTTGATGGCTCCATCTTTACTATACCTGATGACTACAAGGAAGATCCAAGCCGCTTTCCTGACCTTTAACTGACATGGAAAATATGCCATCTAACCAAGGAAAAACAAGGAGATACCCCAGAGGTCAATCCAAATAGAAGGGACAAATGAAGGGACAAAGAAAAGGGAATTACACATTGAATTGACACATCAGTAATGATAAAGAAATGGGCCTCTAATATGAATTTTAGCAAKTTTCCTGATGTGCCATTTTCAGTCTTTTTAAAAATATACTTATTATAAGTGTAATAGTTTGACACCTTAACCCTAAGACCTTCGTATGTAAAGCAGCTATGAGTGCTGTGATTTGTTTTTAAAACTTTTTACACTTGTTGAAATATATATGCATATAAWTATATCTATATATCTATATCTAAAACACTCCTGGACCATTAACATAAATTAAATGTCTTAAGAGATGTTGACGCCCTTTAAAACCTGTCATCTTATATTCAAGGTGACATTTATAAATATTCCTTTAAGCTTTGTTTTCATAAAATGTAAACTATGTARCATTATGTATAGTTCAGTAAATTGAATGTTTGTTCAGTATAATGAACTAGAAGGAATGCARTTTTCTGTAGATGAATGAACCAAATGGTAACCATTAAACAAAACAATTGCATTTATATGTTGCAATACATTTCAGAGGGATCGTTCACTCTGCAGGGAATATGGTACCTCCTTTAGCACCTTAGTGCAATTCATTGTGGTGCTATTTGTTTTTACCTGAATTCTTTCTTCAATGGAAAATGTTTGTTACTAATCTTCTTTTCATAGAACTTCTATTTTCCCCCAAAACTTAAGTTTAAGAGTCCTTGTTATGTTCATGATAAGGTWCGGTTAGCATGCTTATAGATAGTCCTCTTCTAAATCTCAGCACTTTAAACAAATTCCAAATTTTTAAACTTGCTTCCTAATAAGTACATATAAGTCTGATGATTTTGTTTGTTTTTAGTGGAATGTGGATCATTGGTGTCAATTTTAAAAGACGACCCACATATTTTGGACAGCCCTAAAGTAAGGTAAAAACATTTTATATGCTAACAGAATATATTTGTTACAAGCTAAAGTCCAGAAGCATATGGAAGATTGACAATACCTATTGTTTATTTTTTTTGATCACAGGAAAATATTTGATTTTAATTGTCTCCAAAATGTTAAAATCATGCATTACTCATTTTTTGACTTAAAATTTCTTGTATTTATTCCAAGATGGTTTGAAGGTCCAAAAATGAAAATAAATTAGGGAGACTAATGTATAACAGTCATAAAGTATCATGTATTAAAGAGCTTAGCTAATTAATAAAAAAAAGCAGTCTGATGAATTTGGACTTCAAGATTCTTTTAAGTTTTTTAGTGTCCAGTAGTTAAAACTTTTTCCAGAATTTTAGGTAATTTGAAATGAGTTTAGAGACCTTTATTGAAGAGATGATTTATTTGAAAACTCAAAGTTATCAACCATAAGAAAATTTTTTATGATAAACATCTTTAAAACTGCATCTTCCATACATACCAATTGACCTTTTAATAAATACATTTTATAATGCAGAAAAATATTCATAGTTAAAAATTCAAAGACCTAATCACTATCGTATGTGGGTCTGTTGAATTTTGAGGAAAGAATTGGTAACCGGAGAGCTAGCTTTGCTGAACAGAAGTTGATCACTTACATTTAGGGAATGGCTGTACACCAAGTGATTGAAATATCCCGTCTTTGGTTATTATGGGGTTTAAGACTCTAAATGGCAGTGGCTACTGTTGCTCTTAGGCTCCCTCACTTTGTAGGAATCTGGTATACTTTCAGGAATATACTGCAGATTTTTTGCATAAGTGCAGACTAATTGGAGAGGAGAAAAGACATGGTAAATGACATGGTAAATTGCAGATTGGGATTTATCAATTTCCTAACAGCTGTCACAGTTATGCTGGGGTACACTGGAGGTGGGAAGACTACTGAAAACTTTTGCACTTGGATTTTGTATTTAATACTTTTTCTTTAAGAAATAGTAGAAACAAATTGTCCATTCCAAAATGTCTTCTGATCGTGAAGAACAAACAAATGTCAATATCTATTATGATGGTGGAAAAAAGAATAATGCAAATAAACTTTTCACAATATTAGATTTTCAAAATGTGCTCCTTAATGCAGTTAATGAATGAAGCTGTATGCTATTTTAAAATAGATCACAGCACCATATATTTTGATAATTTCACACAAAAATCAAGATTTTATAATGTGGGTTTATAAAATTGTCTTCTGCTTGTGATTTTAGAAACTTATAAACTGAGTTGGGGGTTGGGGGCATAAAACAGTCAAATAAACATTTAGACATGGCTGATACTGCTGCCACTAAGTGGTATTTAGAATTTCTGTCCTCAAGAAATTATTCTAATGAGACAATTTGCCCTTTGTAGAATTCTCAAAATTCATAAAAGGGAAACAAAAAGCTGATTTCCCTGATTGTTGTGGGTTTTAAGTACATAATGATGCTTTGGAAATTGACATGTCTCTCAGCTGATAGAAGCTGAAAAACCAGTTTCCTTCTGCTCAGATTGGTATTAAGCTTCATTTACACTTATTAGTGGGTTTTCACACTGTTATGCACATACAGCTCATTATTCACATCTTGGCAGAAGGTGAATAATGATTTAGCAAGCTTCTCTCCAGTTTTCATTAAGTATCAGATCAGATGAATATCCTGAATATACTGTTTCATTTTTGAGGCCATGAAAGGACTGGAATAAATATTGTCTGTAAACAATTAAGGGATGCTTCCTTTTCCTCATTTATGTTTTTTTTTTTTTTTTTTTTTTGGCAAGCAATGTGCTTGTAAAAACTTGGGAGTAAGAATTTTCAGGTAAGTTCAAAGGCTTGCTTGTATGCTAGCCTTTAAAATAGCCTATGCTTAGGGTGAAATATCTCAGATTAATAGTGGATACAGTATGCCTTCGCTGTTTTCTAAAATTAACAAAATACATCCTTACCAAAGTTGCTATACTTTCATACATATTGTGGTTGATCTGCTCCTCCTGGATTCTACTTCAGCTCTTCAGAATTTTGAACCAGTTGTATGTGCTTATGACCTCTATGGAGAAGAATTCTAGCCTTCTGCAGGACAACCTTGCCACCAAGAACAAAAGTAACAAGACTTAACCAGTTTCAGTCCATCCTTGTAGGTTTTAGTTTGTGCTTGGGGTTAGCTCCAACTTATTCTTACAGTCACAAATCTTCACTTTCCAGCTGCCTGTGGACTTTAAATTGCAGCATCAGGTGTAAAGACAAAAGCCTTACTGAGACTGCTTAATCGTCTCACACAATCAAGGTCCATCCCTGTTAAAACACAAAATAACAAAAAACTAGGAGTTTTGCTTCTTTGACTACAGTTTAAAATAATTGAACATTAAATTCGAATCGAGTATAGTTTAGAATAACTTAACAGTAAACATTTGAAACATTCCGTGATCCTAGACCTTCAATTTCTTATGTACCAATCACTTCAGCTAGTTTTTTTTTTTTTTTTTAATAGGAAGGATTAGGTACTGGGGACTGAACCCAGGGGCACTTTACCATTGACTACATCCTCTGTCCTCTGAGACAGGATCTTGCTGTTGCTGAGACTGGCCTCAAACTGCATTCTCTTGCCTCAGCCTCCTTAGTTGCTAGGATTACAGGTATATACTCCAGCTTCTAGCTAGCTTTTATAAGAAGCATCATACCAATTTTAGTGATAGTGCACTACAAAAATGAGCTTCAGATTTTGAAAATGATGTTAGTATTTTTTAAATAAAGACTTTATTAAATAGTCATTGAAAACTATTCTGTCAGTGGCAGGGGATGTAGTTAGTGATATAGTACTTGCCTAACATGCCGGAGGTCTTGGGTTTGATCCTCAGTACTGCAAAACACAAACCAAAAGAAGTCCTTTACAAACTTTCAGTTCTTAAAGGGTCTGATGACATTTCTTTTTATCTGTAAATGCTAAATATCTAATACTATACAATGAGAATATTAATAATATTCCCACAGGGCCTAAATTACTTTGCTAATAATGTCTAAATCCACTTATCAGATACAAAATTAATCAGTATGAAGAAAACATTTAGGAAAATATTACTTTTGCTATGCTAACACTCTTCTTAGTAATGAATGAATGAATTCTGGATGTTTATAAAACAAAGTTCCAGTAGCAATAGCAATTCCATTACACCCACATTCAACTATAACACAAAATATGGACTTGATTTAGAACCAAGGATGAGATGCTTAAGTTTTTGAGACCAAAGACAGAAACCTCAATTCCAGTTTAAAAAACCAGAGCATCAATCTTCAAACAGTATGGATCTTTATCTGTTACCCAATTCAGTACTAGATTTACTGATAATACTGTGCGAACCTGAGTTGTAAGACGCAGCTCCAAGGTTAAAAATTAGTTTTTACTGTTACAGTACTGGCTTTTTCCTTTACTGTTTACATTTGTTATCTTTAATGGTTAACATCATAATGGAAATATAGAAGGGCAACACAGCTTGCTCAATACATACGTATATGCCCTATGTCAGTGTTTTTGCTTTAACATTACCACCTAAATAACATTTTTAGTACTGGGGAATGAACTACCCTGAGCTACATCCTGAGACCCCTTTATTTTTCATAGACTTAAGATAGGGTCTAATTTGCCCAGGCTGGCCTTGAAACTGTGGTCCTCCTGAGATTATACTGTGCCTGGCCTAAATTACTACAGTTTTTCAAAAACCATAAACAGCATCTACTGTTGATTGATATTATCGATACAATTCCCCCCCAACCAACTAATGTGCACAGGTCAACATAAAGCAAACCCTTGACAAGTCTCCTCCTACAGACACTACTCTAATTACCTACAGAATTTAAGCAAATAAATAAGAACAAACATTTTTTTTTTTCTAACAAAACCACTTTTATTTTTAGATCATTTTACTACCAAATACAGAACAAAACTTGGTGTGGAGGCAGTGTTCACTTTATTTCAACTGGTTACCTCATCTGTTAAAAACGATGTGTCCCAGTATAACACTACCTTTGTGCAGAATGTTTACTGAAAAATATCCTAAATATAACTTCCTTCACTGCAGCATCTTAAGTCAGTGGCACTATTTTAAAATCCCCATTTTTAAATCCCTTTAGAAAAGAATATATTTGCATCCAGAGAGTACAATTGGGGGAGACAGATTTTGAATATTTTTTACCCCATAAAACTGCCAGTATGGTTTTTTGACTTATAAAAAATGGTCACATCACATGGGTCAACCTTTACTAGACATTTTTTCTAAATTTAAAATGTCATTTGCACTTAAAAAAAAATCAGTGATTATTTGGACCATTTCTAGTATTTCTTATACTTGCCATAAACAAGTTTCTGATAAAATCTTAAAAAGTTACTACAAACTATAAAAATGCTGCTTTTCTATATGGCATTTCAACTTTTAGAACAGTGTTTTTWAAAAAATCAAATTTTACTGAAAACTTGGATAAAACTACAACTCCAAGTCTCAACTTTCTTTAATCCTAGCCAAACACTCCTAATTTCATAAACGAATAAATATACTATTTAGTACTGTACAGCATACATATYATTGACAGTTTCTATATTATTTCAGAAAAGGCAAACATTATTTCACTGAAAATATAAATTTACTAGATTATAAGTGGATCATTTGTTTATCCTAAAGTTCATGGTGTAATCCAACCCCATTCCCATATCCAAAATATGAGAAAGTTATATCAAGACTATTTTAGATAGAAATTCAATTATTTGACAATTCTGATGGCAAATACCAGCATAAGGTGATGGATTTCATTGTTACTGTATTTAAATGTGGATAGAAAGAGAAATTGGTAAAATGAATGAGGTAAATGTCTTACATTCAATAATGTAAATAAATACAAATACAGTTTTACAGGAACATGAACATAAGTTTAAGGGTTTTATTATCAAAGTCTTGTAAAACAATTTCAGAAACTGTACATCAACATGGCACAGACTGTAGCCTACTTTTGTTTTTACTGCACAAAAGTGAAGCCTGAAACTCCTGTAACTAAGAAAACAGTTGCCTAACTACTTTGCATATAACATGGAATCACTGTGTGCATTAAGATTACTACTATAGTAATAGTAACACAAAATTTCTTGGTTTTGTACAACTTGAGATCAAATAAAAGTACATTATCAAGTAGATCTATCTTATTTTAAAAGCATCGAAGGTCAATTTAAAATGCACTACCCTTTTTTCCATAAGTGAGCTTAAAACAAAAAAAAAAAATTGAAAATCAGGACAAGATACAACTTTCTTTTACAGATGGACTCAGGATAGGCGGATAACTTTCACTGACGTAGATATGGAATAAATTACGTTAGGAAAAAAAATTCCCAAACACCCATGAAAAAGTACACAACTCTACTTCAAAATGTTGCTATTTACTCACCGCCAAAGACAGTTTTATTTGAAATGTTGTTTCTGTAATTAAAGCCTAATTAGCCATCAAAAAAGGTTAGTGCATATATAACCTTTCAAAAGTTAAACAAAAGCCACAAAAATTGAGCCACAAGGCTTATAGGATTATCTATTTCAAATGCTCATTTCCAGATGTAACTCTAAGAATGTTAATTTGTCATGTCAACAAACAAGACCATAAGTAGATCCATCATGTTGGAGGATTTTAATGACATTTAGGATATTCTTGCCACAATAACATGCAATCAGTGCATTCCCTACATGGCTCTATTACGGCAATGAATCAAATTCTAGAAATACTATAAGTGAACTTACGTAATAAAGGAGATCATACAACATAAACAATCCATGCCTGCTGTAGATGCATGCAGCTTTTCACTTTTGTTATGAAGCAGCACCAGAATAGTAAAACTGCTTGGTTACTCAATCAGATTTCACCACGACAAGAGCTGGTTACCCATGTACCATTTTCTAAAAGCTTTTTGATGTAAATAACTAATATCAATATCAGGAGCTTTATAACCATTTATAACTCAGCTGTATACATCTAGGATTGAGATGAACAAATACAGCATTAATAAATCACACAAAGGAATGACACTGATGCATGTATACAGTTGGACTCCCACAGAGGCAGTACTCAGTCACTCATATCCATGTCTTCTTCATGATGATCGTCCCCATTCACTTTGGATTCTCTTAGTGAATCACCGGTTCCCTTTTCTACAGAACATTCTTTTGTTTTAGGGGAACCTGTTTCTGTTGGTTTCTTCTCCTCTTTTTTCTCTTTCTCGCTGTCATACCCCTGCTCCTCTTCATCATAATCCCGTGTAACCTGCTTTGCCAAGGAGAATAATAAAAGTAAGTTTCTTCAAAGAAAAAGAATTTCTTCAAAGCACAAACACCACTCCAAATTCCAAACTAAATCAGTTTGTATACATACTTTTACATCTTTATCACTCTCTGATTTTCTTTCCCGGTCCTTCTCCTTATCTTTACTCTTTTTCTTTTTGCTTGTTGATCGCTCCCGTTCATCTCTGCTTCTTTCTTTGTCTTTATCTTTCTTCTTCTCCTTTTTATGTCTAGAATGACAGTTAAAATGTGCTCAAAAAAGATCCTTTAAAGGAAGTTTCACCCTTGAATATGAGCAGTGTTTTAATTCCACAAGATAAAAAGAGGACAGCAAAGATCCAATTTCAAAACTGGACAATAAAGGCATCAATGTGTACACAGATACCACAGGCAAGAAGACGGGGAGATCTGATTAGAGGTCTAAAATGATCAATTCTAAGAAGTGTTTAAGTCTCAAGAATATAAAGAGAATGTAAGATACCTTCTCAAGCACTTTCAATACCCCMAAAGGAAAAAAATACATAGGTTATAAAAAACAAAGACAATTTAAAAATCTTTAGAACTTCTGAAAATCATAAAGGCTAGATCAAGACAATTAACATTTTTACCTCCTAGGGGATGGTGAGCGAGATAATTTTCTTTTAGGAGACCTAGGCTTTTTAGGAGATCTTGTTCCACTCCTGCTTCTTCTTCGTCGTCTCTCTCTAGAAACACAAACGTGCAAACTAGACTTTAAAATACAGTGCGATCTAATTAGCTCCACTGGGAACTTCTATAACATGATTCTAATAATGTAAGACCTGTTTCACAAAACTGTTTTGAGCAGAAACACTCTTAGGCTTAAGAAAGAACTGATTAACAAAAGTTCTAATGCAAGCAAGAAAAATTCAACCTATTATGGAGGAAATTTAGTTTTAGATTCATATCTTTGGTGGCTAGAACAGATTTAGGATAATTCAATAATGTTTTGGGAAGGCAGTCATTAATACACAAAAATTAAGCTTCTAAATCATTAGATGAAATCCAGAAAAGTAGAGTTGCCAAGTATTAGTTATATAGACTCCCTACATCCCAGCAAAATCTGCCCCACCAACTCTGCTTTAAACAATTATTTTTAGGACGGTTTTCACCTACTTTTTATTGTGGCTTTAAAAAAAAGCTCCTGAATTCTTAAGTTATCGGACATGAAAGATGACCATGTGCAAAGCAATCAACATTTATTCATCGAATATTTACTAAGTTTGTCAAGAATATGAATGTTATACTTCTTGCTACTGTTCTGTGTAGCTGATACTACAAAATCTTTACGTGGAAGAAATGTTTTGTATTTCTGTGCCCCTCAATATATTGAGGTATCGCTGCAAAGTAAGTATTTAATAAAAACAAAAAATATTTTAACTTAGAATGGTCTACTCAAGAGATAAGGTATATATAACCAATAGGTAAAAGTCTTTTTTTTTTTTTAAAAATTAATTTTCTATTATTTTTGGTGCTGAGGACTGAATCCAGGGCCTTGTGTATACTAAGTACAAGTTCTGCCTCTGAGCTACAGCTCCAGTCCCTCTTTGGTTTTTAAGGCAAGAAAACATATGCTATACTTCTCATCTCCTATGGCTTTTTGCCACCTGTCCCTCAGACTTGATGATATTGTATTCCTTTTGGTACTTAAACCTTGTTTCCTTTTCTTTCTTCTGTAAGCATACTTTGCAAGAACATTCTCATTCAGATCCGCAGAAATCCTATTCCCTTTACCAAGTTTTGATCTCTAATATCTGCCTAGTTTAGACTTTTCATATAAATAGAAYCACTCACATGACTTCCATGACTGGCTTCTGGCCTGTTTTCAATGTTCATTCATATTATTTTTATTYAATGCCAAATAATCTACTGTATTAGAACATCTGTTTATCCACTTGTTTGTTAGTGGACATCTGCACTGACTTTCTGGCTATCATGAATAATGCTATAAATTTTTTTTTACAAGCATTTTTACATGAGTGCATTTTTTTTTTCAATCTGTAGTAGTAAAACTGCAGGGTTAAAAACCTCTGTTCTAACTTTTTAAGAAAGTGCCAGCCTGTTTTCCCCAGAGCTATTGCCAATTTTTTCTAATTCCTCACTAACATTGATTTATCTTTTTGATCACAACAATCCTTGTGGGTGTGAAGTGGTATTTCATTGTGACTGACTTCCTTTCCTTGGTGGCTAAAATGTTGAAGATTATTCATGTACTTATGAACTATATTTGCATACTTCTTTGGAGAAGCGCCTACATAGATCCTTTGACTAGTTTTTACTTGGGTTATCTGCCTTTCTATTGCTAAGCTCTAAGAATTTTTTATATGTTCTAGATATAAATTCCTTATCAGGTCTATACATTAAAAATATTTTCTTGCACTCCATGAGCAGACTTTAACTTCCTTGAGAGTTAAAAATTTGCGATTCTGGTGTTTTTCCTTTGTAATTTTTCTTCTGTTGTGCTTGTTCCCTTGGTGTCTTTACGTAGAAAACCACTGCCAATCAAGGTCATTGAAATTTACTTCTGTTTTAAGTTTTACAGTTTTGGCTCTGGCTCTTTTAAGTCTTTTATCCACTTTTGAGTTTTAAAAAATATGACATAAGGTATCAAACACTGAAGTAAAGCATAAATAATATCTGAAAGAAACAATATTAAGTATGGCCAGTCCTTATTAAGATCACAAAAATCCAAGTTAAGCATGAAATACATTTTATGTGGGGAAAAGTTTGTGACACTTTTAATTTTCATTATGACAATTTAAAAAACAGAGTTTTAAAATCTAAAAATGATACAAATCAGAACTTCCACTGTCTTCCCTTAATTTATCAATGCCACAATATAAAAAGGAAATATTCTTGAGTACTAATATGTGGATACAGCAAATGTAACTCTTAATAAAACTAATTTAATATAACAATTTGATACGCTTTAGGGATTAAAATTTCACATTAAAATAGAAACACTGGGGCTGGGGTTGTAGCTCAGTGGTGAAGTGCTTGCTTGGTATGTGCGAGGCACTGGGTTCGATCCTCAGTGCTATATAAAAATGAATTAAACAAAAGTATTGTGTTCATCTAGAACTTAAAAAAAAAAAAAGACAGGCACTGACATGGCTAAATTCCACATTATTTTTAAATACACTCGATGCTACAAGACGATAAACTTCAGATTGCTCTTCACAAATTGCCTTTAAAAACATTGAATTTTGGTAAAATCTTCCTTTTGTCACACTGGAGTATTAATGTTCTGAAGCATATTTTACATTCACAGTCTTCTGATAACCTTAAAGTAAAAATATGCAAAGAATTCAGGATGCCACCTTACCTGCTTGCACTTCTCGAACGTCTGGCTGTGCTGTAACTTTTTGGTGGTGTTTTGGAACGTTTCTTTTCTTTGTCTTCCTTTTTTTTATCTCTAATAAATAAACATAATGTAAGAATGTATAATTAAGACTTCAATATATAGAGTATTACAAATGAAAACAAAAGTACAATCAAATCTAACCACATTCTTAAAAACATCCTATCCTCAACTATTAGGGATCAAAGTATCCCCCCTTTGCTGTTGTATGGTAATCTTTTCACTATATATTCTCTATTTCATCCCATTCCTTCTCTGGTTATCTTGCTCTAGCATTGATCTTCTTTTCATCCAACTGGCTATCACCTAATTCTTAAGTGACAATTATCAATTTCCTAAAATGTTTCAGGGTATGCTTTCCACAAATTGATCATGTACCTCTATTGGAGATATTTCAAACTACAGTCATGTTTTGCATGGTTAGTACCTTTTGTGTATGGGGGAGGTGGTCAACTAGGTATTGAACCCAAGGGGGGCTTTACCACAGAGCTATAACCCCAGCCCTATCCCTTCTTAAGACAGGCTCTCATTAAGTTGGTCAATAAATTGCTAAAGCTGGCTTCAATCTGATACCGCGGTCCTAACAAAGTCAAGTTAAATGTTTCATAATGTAATATTCTAGTCACTTCTCAATCTTTTTCMAATGTACATGGCAACCATCACAGTCTTTCTCCAATTATTACTCTCCTAATACACAGAAAATTCTTGAGGAAAGAATGCCCAATTCTGTGTAAGATAATTGTTCCAATATGCAGTCTTGTTTGACTAGATTAACATATAATCCATTTAGTGACATAATCCCATTATGAGTTGAATACCCAGTATTCCTATCTCCTCTATTCCCACTGTCAAGTTATATGCTTACCAAAGATAAATAACCAAGGGAAAAAACAATGAAAATCTATATACTTTTCAAATGATAAAGCTCTCATGCCACTATAGAATGAAAGCTTAGTTCTTGAAAGTATATGTAAATGGAAATGAACACTAAGATGGTGTTTCTTTTCCTTATGAATCTTTAGTTTAACTCTGTACTGGTCTCAAATCATGGGATAAGAGACTTTTTGTAGTACAGTTCAATGTCTGGCACATATTGATCCATAATACATGTTTTCTAAGTCACTGAATAATGAGACATATAAAGAGAAATGAAGCATAACTGTCTATCTTAATCTTTGGCATACCACAAGGAATGGCAGGCAACACTAAATCTTTTGCAGTAGTGGAAAGAAGAAAATGAAGTAAAAGGGACAGCTAAGAATTTTTACTACTAAGAAATTTTACCTAGGGGAAAAAAAAAGAGAAAAGAAAAAAGAAATTTTAGAGGCATTCACACCTATGGGCTGAAGCTTTAGTTTATGGGAGACAAGAAAATAAATGTTAGCCTCCTCAAGTCTCCAGTATATTCTTCCCCTGTGTAGCTCTGTCTACATGCATTTTTACCCAATGTTAATAATCAGTAATACCTGGTTTTTGATGTGCTTCTTGACCTTCTACCTCTTTCTCTGGAATGAGATCTTCTCCGTCTTGGACTTTTGGATCGTCGTCTACTCCTTGACTTAGAATGTGATCGCCTCCTTGACCTGCTTCTTGATCGCCTAATAATGTAATAGAAGCAATACATGTATATTGTAAAAAGACTAGTGAATACTTAACTGTGAATACTTCAATCAGCCTCAGACATATGGACTGTGAATTAAGTGGGGATAATCTTCCCTTACCAGTTGCTGTCATTATTCAACCTATAAACATCTTGGATACCTTTTAACACTTGAATTCCCCATCTTTCAATGTTCTGCTCAACATTTCAGACCAGTCTTCCTATTCCCACTGTACGTACAACTCAAAGGTTAAAAGCACTACTAGAGAATGAGGAAAAACAAATTCTCTGACATTATTTTAAACAAGTACATGACATTTTAATTTTTCCCCCAACATTCCAGATAAAAAATATTTATCTAGTATCAAATACTTATATTAGGCTTTCTATATGATTTAGAAATAGGCTTCATAGTAACTGTATAAAGTATGTACCATTATAATCCCTTTTTATAAATGAAGACTACTTAGTGGGTTGCAGTCATTTCTGAAATATATTTCAATTCTTTAATTCACAATTTAAGAAACTCTAAGCAATCTAGGCCTTACATATTCAACTCACTAACTATATCTTTTGCTCTTTTTTCCCCCCTCAACATATCACGATCTCCACATGATCTTCTCTTTGCTATCATTTAACCAATGTTTCTGTATGCCCCTTGGCTTTTCTTCCAGCACATTCTCTTTAAGCTTATTTAATCTTCAGATGTTGTCACCAATTCTTTACTACTATCTTAATACCTCTATTTTAAGATTAAAAAGAAGTTGTAGTYCTTTGTTTAGTCTTGATCATTTAACATTTAGCAATCAAGCTTTCTGTGAAACATATTTTAGAAATACAAAAGGTCAGTATTCAAAGTCTTTGCCACACCTCTTAAGAGTACTATCTAACCTCCTTGATAACTGGTTGTTCAGGAGTCAAAGAAATAAAATAGCAGCTACCTCAGAGAATAGTTGATTTTCCCTTACTGATGTATTAATATAGCTTTGATTTTAATGAAGTCCCTGAACAAACTGCCTTAAAACCCATTAGGCGGAGCTGGGATTGTGATTCAGTGGTAGAGCGCTTGCCTAGCACATGCAGGGCACTAGGTTCGATCTTCAGCACCAGATAAAAGTAAAATAAAGGTATTTTGTCCAACAACTAAAACAAAATATTAAGAAAAAAACATTAGTACCACCTTATTAAACTCACAACTTTTATTTGTAACACTTATTTGCAGCCATCCTTGAATCTCTTATAATAATACCTCCATATCCATATCCCAAGAAATTTTTAAATGTTTATCTACTTTTCTGTAACCWCCAGAAGAACAGGGGAAATATGTCACATTTATTCACTAGCGTACCCCTAGTCAATTACTACAGTAACTGACTTAAGGTATTAAGAACAATTGTGAGGGAAATAATTAGCTTATGAAACATCAGAATTACCATTTTATTCTAAAAAGATTTAAAAATTCTGGAAAACAAAAAAATGTTGTTAGAATTAAGTACATCTCATCTTAACATTCTAGCTTTAAGAAAATGTATAAAACAGAAAGCAATACTGAATACTACAAGAGCATTTTTACAACTTTCTAAACACACAGATTTAATAAATTTTGAAAAATCTAAGAAACAAAGGTACTGCAACAATCTGTCAAATCACTAGAGCTTAAAACAATTACTTTTCAAGGTCAACATATTGCAAGAGATACTTTTACTGTACTTATTTAAGTATCAGGAAATTTAGAGATAAGTATACCAAATGTGTAAACAAAGAGGCTTGCTGAAAGTCACGATAATTAAAATGCTTAAGATATATTAGGCATGGTGGCACACACCTAGAGTCCAGGCATCAGGAGGATCACTTGATCCCCGGAGTCTGAAGCCAGCCTGGGCACAAGTAACACTCTGTCTCAAGAAACAAAATGAAACAAAACAAAAACAAAAAAGCCYAAGATTCTGTACTCACAATAATTATGTTATATTATATGCAGCTGAATTCAGAGAAATGTTTCAATACTATTTTTCAGTAGCAAAAGTATACCATTATTAAAATTTGAGAGTCATAGTATTTAGTACATAGGAATAAAGCTGCTAGAGTTCTTAACTGAGAAAGAATGAGAAAGGAGAAGGAAAAGATATAGACTCTCAATTTTAAGAATATGATTTAGAAAACAAATTATGGTAATCCCAGTAAAAGATATATTGTATTAGAGATCAGACTATGAGAGAGCACTGTCTTGGAAGAYTAAGATAGTTGAGTAGTACTAACACTTCACATAAACAGTAGAATTTAAGCCATATCTTTCAGAAAGAAGTTCCTCAAAGGGAAGTGAAGATATAAGAAACAGTATTATTAGAGAAGAAGGAACATGATGAGCCAACACATGAAGGCATAAGGAAAACATTGGTAAGGCAAGTAGTTTCATAACTGTTCTGAAGTGGAAAATGACAATGTGTGGAAAGATATGTCACACTGACTAGGAAATAAACTGAAAGCTATTCTGTGGTCTTCTTTATCATTAATGCAGTGGAAGTTTCTCATTACCATCTCTAAGAATGAGATGGGAGAAGTTGGGTGACAGGGAATAAAAGACATCACACAGAACACTTCTAAAATAATCCATGAAGATACTAAATATAGACATGGTATGAACTAAGTTTCAGAAGAAAAAGCCACAAGGATATAAGAACCAAGTGGTACTAAATCTGAAAACTAGCTGAAATAATTGACAATTGGAATATCACAATTTTATTATTTTTTATTTATTTTGAATATCACAATTTTAAGTACTACCCTGCCAGGGCTTAGACTAGAATATAATTAAGGTAACTTGAACAGGGAGTTTWGGTAAAATAAAGAATGGCTGAAATGGTTGGTGGTAAGTCATCAAATGCAATGTTTCAGAAAGTATAATTTATGAAACCCTTTTTTGGGGTCCACATGGTCAAAATTATTTTYAAAATAGTAGTAATTTTTTTCATTGTCTTGATATTTGCACTAATGATGCAATAGCATAAGGAAAGGTACTGGCATTTTCTTGTCACAAATCAAAGTAATGGCAAATGTACTGTACCAATCATTGGTACTTCTGTATAAACTTGTAAAAGAAAGATAATGCTGCTTCTAATAAGGATGATTTGATGAAACAGTGAAAATTATTAATTTTATTACATCTAGTTCTTTGAATACTGCTAAAGCAGTAGTAGTATTAATTCTTGAGTAATATTTAAAGTATGCATAATCACTACTGATGCTGACTAAAGTACAATGGTGTATCAAGAAGGACTTGTATSACTGAGTTGAATTAGCTGCCTTTGCCTTCTTGTAAAGATTAAGCTTGCGGAAAAGTTCTATTCAAAGTCTGAGAGATAACTATTAAAAGAATTTTATAAAAAGTTCATTATTATGGTTTCAGTTCCATATGGCAATTACCTTTATAGAAACTATCACCTGTCAAATTTTGGCACTTATTAATAAATTGTCTTCTTTTAAGCTAAACATTACAGATTTGCAAAGCAGTAAAAACAAAACCACTGTCCCCAGTTGTTTATAAGTGTAAAGGATTCTGAAAACTGGACTGTAGAGACCTAATACACTTATAGAGGGAAGTCATATGGAAAAAAGAACAAATTTAGTATTACTCTAGATAAGTGAACAAATTTAGTATTACTCTAGATAAGTGAGAATGATACTATCAACTGGTTTATCCAGTAATTCATAAAATATAAAAAATAGCAAGTTATCACTTGCAAATATTCATACATTAGATATACGCAGGTTACTCAAGTCACCTTCCAATTTAAAAGTTTCAGAAAAAAGTTGTAACTAGAGTTCAATTCGAAAGTTTCAAGTCCAGTGATCTTTAAACAGTACCAAGTCATTTTGATGTTCAAGTCCCAAGGCTTTCTGACCACCCACAGATTTTTGAGTTTAACAGTATGAGCCATAGATTTAATTCATATCTTTCCTCACTTTATGTGTGTGAGAACTCATTCATATACTGTTAATAGCAATGGTTACCAAAATATACTTTAACCAGGAACTAGTCCGCAAACATCAAATTCAGAAACACARAAACTACCTCTGTAAAAGATATAACTGACTTCAAAAAGCAATCTAACCTGTGTCTAGAAGATGAGGGAGTCCGCCTCCTCCTAGAACGTGATCTTGATCTTGAATGCCTTCTTTTTTCTTCTTTCTTATCTGGATTTTTTTTAAATTTAAAAAAAAAAAAAGGAACCAATATTTAGAAATAATCTAACAGAAAAATTACTCCCATTCAAGAGTTATTCAAAGAATTTTCTTATTACTTTAATTTTATTTTACTTACTTATTACTTTAATTTTCAGCTTTTATGTATATACTTATGTCACAAGTGATCATTTCATAATCCACTGCTGAAGCTTGCAGAAGTGACACAAATAATTTAGGCTTTTGATGGATCTTTTTTATCAGATTTCTGATTCTCAGCTAACAGTTCCCTTTACTATCTTACTTGCCACAATTAGAAGGCTGTGAAGGTATTTTCTACAAATCAATAAAAAGGGTTATCTTTCACATTCATAGGCGATTTCTGATTTGTTCTTTAGAAGGTTTGAGTCCTTTTTTCCTTTTTGAGATTTCTTCATAAGTACAGCTATAATCAGTCAGATTAATGTTTGCTTTAATTTTCATGTGTTTTTCTTTTCTGGGGGGCAAAACTGAGTATGGAACCCAGGAGCACTCTACCAGTAAGCCACACCCCCACTCCTCTTATTCTTTAAACTCTGAAACAGGGTCTTGCTAAGCTGGCCTTGAAATTGTGATCCTTCTGAGTCACCAGATTAAAGATGTGTGCCATTTTGCCTAGCTTACTTTGAAGAGCAAAATAAAAGCACTGAAGTTTTCATATGTAGATTATCATTAAAGTGACAATAAGTTCCTCTTTCACATTTAGGACCCTCAATTAACAGGATCCAATCAATAAATTCCCAAAAATCTTAGAAAAAAATAATTTATAAACCATTTTACTCATGAGTTTTCAACTAAAAGCAGTTTAGAGGACAAGTGCCCAAGAGTTCTGAGTTACACAAAACCATCTGTATATCCAAAGCTTCTACTGCTTTCCTTGTGGCCTTGGCTACTTACTGAAAATTTAATTGATAAAAAGATAATCTAGGAGCCTGGGCTGTGGCTCAATGGCAGAGCATTTGCCTAGCATGTGTGAGGCACTGTGTTCGATTCTCAGTACTACATATAAATAAATAAAATAGAGGTCCATTTAAAACCAAAAAAAAAAAAAAAAAAAGAATCTATAAAGAATAAGACAAATGATTTTTCTTCAAACAAAAGATAGAAGCATTTCATAGGCTCTTCTGATTAGGCTATACCAACCTAGACAAATAAAAATGATTAATAACAACCAAAATATCATACCAGGTATTACTTAATCCTAGGCACTGCTGACATTTTGGAATGGTTCAGTGTTGTAGTATGTGGGACTCCTGTTTACTGTAGTAGGTCTAGCGACATTTCAATCTCTACTTACTAAATGCAGTTGGTACCAGTGTGACAACCAGAAATTTCTCCAGATATTTCCAAATATGCCTGGGTGGCACTCCATTACATGATCTTTTATTTATCAGAATTTGCAAAAATCAAAAAAACAAAAACAAAAACAAAAAAAACTAGAGTATTATTCAACACATTTTTACATGCAGGCCATCATCATTTGTCAAGAATATTAGTTTAATTTCCAAAAAAATTGCATAAAAATATTTTACCTGGTTCTATAGCAGCAGAAATCAAGGACTGTGCTTCACGTACTCTTTTCATAGCTTCCTCTATTTCTTTACTAGAGGTATCTGATTTCAGATTTGGTGAAACCAGACCAGCAGCTACATGATTCAACCTAAAACACCAAGAAGAACCGAGCATAGAAATATTTTAAAATTCAACCCTACACTTATAAAATAAGTAGTATACTTTAGTTTCATGTAACATAATTTCAGTAAACTATTCCTTGAAAAAAAGGGTGGGGGGATTCCATAACCTTAACAAATGATATATAGCAGCATGGTTTTGAATATTTATAATAGACATCTCTATTTTAATGATTCACACAGATCTGGAATTCTGGAATAGTAAAATACCTTTTTATTCTTGCTGAACATTAACTTTCCATAAATAATTTTGAATATGAAAATGCTGAAAACCAAAAACTTTTTAAAAGAATTCTACAATATCTTTGTTGGGCTTTAACTTTGAAGTTTACAAATGGGGAGAAACTGAGGCAATGGACAATGGCCCATCAAAGTTACACATGACATTCTGACTGGAGCCAAGTGCAGTGGTGCATGCCTATAATCCCAGTGGCTTAGGAGGGTAAGACACTTCACAAATTCAAAGCCAGCCTCTGTAACTCAGTGAGAGCCTGTCTCAAAATAAAATATAACAAGGGCTGGTTATGTGGCTCAGTTATTGAGAACCCCTGGGTTCAATTTCCAGTTACACACACACACAAAAAAAAAAAAAAAAAAAAAAAATCAAGGGAAGGCTAAAGATCTAAAGATGGTCCTTAGTGGTTCATACATGTTAAAAAAAATTATAGACACCAATTTAGTACAGTAGATTTGAGGAAATGGTGGGAAATGTCATAAAAAATAGATACAGAAAGAACTTCAATGTATTGGTGACATTTTAAGTTGGATGGTGGGTACATGTTTGAATTGGGAGGGGGCAGTGGTATGGGGGATTGAGCCCAGGGGCACTTAACCACTGAGCCACATCCTCAGCCCTTTTCCATAGTTTATTTACAGTAAGGGTCTCACTGAGTTACTTAGGGCCTTGCTGTGTTGCTGAGGTTGGCTTTGAACTCATGTTCCTCCTGCCTCAGCCTCCTAAGCCGCTGAGATACATGAGTTTGCCACTACATCTGGCCCTGTTTGAATTTTAACTATCAGAAAAAAGGTCACTCACTGAAAGACTCTGTCTTCCCTTCCACCATATTCTTCCACTTACTGGTAATGAAGAAACCAAATTAAGAAGAAACAATTTCATTTATATAGCTTGAACGGCATTTATCAAAATCCCCAAAGAATGTGTGAGCTATTGATTATGCAACTTGCATGACTTTGCTTTGGGATAGTTTTCCCTTCAGCTTTGCTTCTTTAAGTCCTACTATCCGTAGGGATAGCCTTTGCTCTTCATACTAAGTTTTCCCTTTATAGTAAGTTCCTTTCCCTAGTTGAATGCACATGCTTTATTATAATAAAATATCAATGCCCTTCCTCCCGACTACAGCATAAGTGCCACGAAGGGACTCACGTACTTTAAGTAGGGGGAGGTGGAAGGATTACTGGGGATTAAACTTAGCAGCACTTTACCACTGAGCTACAGCCCTGATCCTTTTTGATGCAGGGTCTGGTTTAAGTTGCTGAGGCTGGCCTCAAACGTGCCTTCTGCCTTATCTTCCTGAGTGGCTGGGATTACAGATGTGCACCACTGTGTTTGACTCTAGGATACTTTATTATGTTATTATCCTGGTATAAGCCATTTACATTTATTATGAAAGATCCACATTACACTAAAATAAAACCCTTAATATGTGAGTTTACTTGTAGATTTCCCTCATTTCTAGAAAACAATATGTAACATATGCCTTAAGAACATGTACTTCTATCAAAAATAATGATACACTAGACATTCACACACACTATCATCAATGGAAACAAACAAAACCCTTACTTGGGATCAACAGTGCTCATAAGCTTCAGCAACTGATCTGCGGCAAGAGACTGCAAAAAACAAAAAATTAGTAAAGAATACATGCAACAAATAATGATGCTATTTATTTTCTCAGTACACTGAAATGCACTGGGGCAATTTTGTCAAACCTATAAAAAGTAACATGCTCTATGCATGATGCTAACTAACAGAATAAAACACAAGCTACACATTAATTTTTTTACAATCCACATTAAAAAAATAAAGACAGGTGGCAGTGTATTTTTTAGTGGCTACTGTACTGAATAGAACGGCTTTAACAAGTTATATGAAGAGTGAAAGCTAACAATTTAGATTTTACAGAATTACTTCTTGATTGTTTTAAGAGGGAAATGAACATTTTAAATACACACGTAAAAAACTCCAACTTCTTAGTATTAAAAGATTGCTACAAAACAAGGATTTTTTTTTTAAAAAAAGCTAAATTTCAATGAAAAAATAAAACATATCAAACCGAAATAAAACCCAAAAATTTGCAAGAGGAAAATAACTTATGAAAGTATGTCCCAATCAGCTAGGCGTGGTGGCGCACACCTGTAATCCCAGAGGCTTGGGAGGCTGAGAGGAGGATCATGAGTTCAAATATAAAATRGAGCTGGGGTTGTGGCTCAATGGTTCAGTGTCCCTGAGTTCAAATCCTGGTACCAAAAAAAAGCATGTCCCAGTTACTGACTGCATGACATACTGATTTTTGTGTTAACTACCTACACATCTATTTTCTACTTTAAACCCCTGCTTGTGAAATGCAAATGAACAGTTAATAAAACAAACTTTTAGGAAAGGAGGCCAAAAAATAGAGTAAGAAGTTGTACCTGAGAGTTCAAGTTTGCTCCAGGAAGCCCAAGTGCAGCAAGGGCAGGATCAAGAGTAGGAGCTCCCAAAGCAGCCAATGGAACGGCGCCAATCTGTAAATATTCAAGTTTTGTTCATTAAGGCTTTTTTTGTTCCTTATACCAATGGTTAGCACTTACTTTAAGTGCTGTGTCTTGTGCTACTTGAGACATCACTCATTTCTCCTTGAATGACTGACTGCCCTATTAAGAATGCTGGAAGGATACTGAGGAAGTAATTCTTGTGTCTCTTGATTATTCGTACAGTGTCATGTGGGATACTCAGTGGCCTTTACCTCCCATATAGTTTAGTGCCGTCTCCTTGAATAGCTTCCTGGTTTGTTCTAGGGGAATCCAGGAAAATCACTACCCTTTCAGACATCTAAATCTGTACAGGAGTCTAAGTCCTGTGGTCTAAATATGCTTCTTCCTTGTATTCTTTCTGCCTCAGCAGTGTTTCTCATACTATGATTCCTGTATTCATTAGATTTCCCCTAATGCTTCCCTAATAGTTATTATTATTTTATATTAAATTTTCCCTGTTCAAATTACTATGTGGTTCTATTTCCTGCCTAATTCCGATTAGTCCGTAATTTAAACAGACAAAAATCTTGTAAAATTCTGAAACTTTAGAAGTAGTYTTTCTCCACAAGAACTGTGCTTAAAGTTCATCTAGTTTCATATACTATCTGGTCAATACAAATCATCCAACTCTGTAATTTAAGTATTTACTAAGTACAGGTGAAATGCTTTGTTAATACTAATAATTATTACATAAAATTTTATACACCAAAAGACACAGAAATTACCCATTTATCGTCCCACAGGCAAGACAAACAAACAAAACTACAAAACCAAAGCCAAGAAGCTAAGTACTAATCAAATTTATATCTAAAATCCAGGAGATACCGATCTTTTCCATGATTCCATATTCTACAGTTAACAGAACCAATTATTTATACAGGAAAGATGACATGATAGGATATTTTTATAAATTTCTAGTTGAGGCACATCATTCACTATTATTTTTAAAAGCCCTATATAATCTCTTGGAGTAGTTAAAATATAGACATTTCAATGCCTTTCTGGCTGGGGATGCAGCTCAGTGGTAGAGCATTTCCCCATCATGCATGAAGTTCTGAATTCAATTTCCAGCACTACAAAAAGTAAAATAAATTCAGAGTGCCTGTTAGTTCTTAATATGCTTCTTAAAGCATTACCAGTTAGAATCATTATTCTAATCAACTTTACTTTCCTCAAAGCAAACATCCCAATCTAGATTTCAATTTCATTTTCAAGCCACCTTCTTAATCCCAACCCCACAATAACAGCAAAAAAAAAAAAAAAAAAAAAAAATCAAAGGGCAATTGAAAGCTTCATTTAAGCAGTTTGAACTTCAGCTTTATTTTCCTTCCTGGATCAAATGAACAAATTTGTAATGGCATGTTCTCAAGTGTTAATACTGAGGAAGATCACCCCATCCCTGCCACAATTACTAATAGGTTGTTTTGAGATATGTATAAAAGATATTTTATAATTTTTAGGATGTTCTTAAATACAAACTTTTGGAGAATGTCTCTGTAGTATTTGATTATACTACAGTCCTTTAAATGATATTGCTCTATGTGCTAGAATATTGAGAGCACTTAAAAAGTAAAATATATTTTATCCACAGTTCTGTGTTTCTTTCCATCTTTTCAGAATTCAAGAGATCAAGTACCTGGGTAAGTGGGTTAGGTGTAGGCAGGAGTCCACCACCAGGCAGAAGACCTGCCACTGCATTTGCTGGTGCCAACAGAGACAAAGCCTTAGTCTCATCAGGAATAACTCCTGCAGAGAAATATCCTTGCATGAGAACACATTTTTTTGTAAAACAGAAAACACACAAAAACACCCAGAAAATGTCTCCCTGATACACCACCTGAGTTTGTTGAAAGTACTTATTGTTCGCTAAAATATAAAGCTTGATCTCTATATGATTATTTATCATTAATTTTATGTCAGAATGAAACTTCAATGTGTGAAAATTTGTTTCCTTTTGTCTACAAATGGTTAAGTTTCTAGAGTAAAAAAAAAATAGCACAATACACACTACTTTTTTGTTAACACTGCCAAGATTTCATCACCTGTACTCGATTTTTAAGTCATGAACCAAACGTAAGCAAGCACAGTCGGTTCTCCAGGGGTGTGCTCTCAACTTTCAAAAGCTGTTTTATGAACAACGACTCGTGTCGGCTGCTTCACTATAAAGCACACAGAAAAATCAAGATACACAAGACAAAAAAAGTTTGATTTAGGGGTTAATAATATGGTACAGTTACTATGATTTTTTTTTACACCTACCATACAAATTTTGTAAAAATTAAGAGAAGAAAAGTATGTAAAGGAAATATTCTGTTGGAATCAAGCGTAGGGCTTTTGCTGACTCATGAAAATGAATATGAATGTTTCTGAATACACACGGAATGTGTGTGTGTGTGGGGGTGGGGGGGTGGTACTGAGTGAGAGAGAATAGGTAAAACAACATGGCACATTCCTTACCTGTACAGTAAAATGCTTTATGTTCCAATATGTGCCATGCTAACCATACCAAAAAAATGCTACTGTCAGTTCAAAAGCTAACTGAGCCAAACTTCTTATGCCCCAAATGACATGTGTGTCTGTTTTTAAAGCCTAATCTGTGTATTCAGATGAAATCTAAGGGTCCTAAGACAAATATTTATGTAGACAATTTAAATTCTATCCAACAGCAAAAGCCCTATACAGATGGATTAATCTGTTAATGTGCCCAAGCCCCCAAAATGAGAGTTCAATAATACAATTAAACTACATATTTGCAAATACCAGTAGTATTTCTGTAATACATATTAAGAAACTGCATCTCATCATAAAACATACAATATGTACAGGGCACTTAAGAGAAACTGGATAAGCTGCAGAAGAAAACTGTTGGGTGGTATTTTCAGCAGGGCCTGGTATATAGTTCAGGCTGAACCAGGGAAAAGAACTGTAAAACACAACAACAAAAAAGAAAAACCACTGTTAAATAAAGGTAATGGTTCCTTCCACCTATACTGAGAAGTGCCGATAATATAAACAAATGTATACTACACAGCACTGTTATCTTGCTTGTGTCAGAGCTGTCATCAATTTAGATACCAAGAGTTATGGAGGGGAAGGGGGGAGAAGATCATTTAGATATAGGGCATTTATGCATTAATATTAACAAACCTACAAAGATTAAGGGATAATTTTGCATGCAAAATTATGTCTCAAGAGGATATATTAAGTATCAACATCTTAGTCAAATTAGTGCATTTGCAACATTTCTGGCCAACTAAAATCCTCTTGAATTTATTGTGAGACACCTGATAGAAGATCTGCATCCATAAAAAAAAAAAAAAAGTCATGCATCTGATCCTCTGATTAAGAAAAAAAAAACTATTTAAAAATAAAACTACAATTTAAAAATAGCAATGAGGCCCCTCACCAGTTAATTTTCATGCGTCAAGAGTATTTTTTTTACTGCTGCTTTGATAGAACCATGAAATACTGCATGAATGTGTAGAAATGAAAGAAAAAGAAACAGACAAAAGAAACAAACATTAACCAAAGGAACCTAAATAACCCCCATATCCATTACTTTAAAGAGTTCCTTCCAAACTGGCTATATGTTTTATCAATTAAGACTGTTCCTTACCGTAGACTTTTTGTCTATTGTTCTAAAACAACTGACCAAGAGCCAACACCAAAGTGTAAGAGCTAAAACCAGAGTGAATGGTGACAAAGGAATTGAATACATCAAATTACTTAGTGGAGATAACATGAATACAGCATATCATACCATAATTAAATATAGCAAAAATAGATTTCAGAACTAAATACTTCTGTAATTCTCTTATGTATTCCCCAACCTCACTTTCAAAACCAGATCTAAAAAATTACTGGGACCTAAAAATATTTATGAAAGTCAGTTATATGATATACTGTATTATGTTCCAGGGTTGGTAACTGTAACACTTTGCCAATAAGCATTCTTTAAATTTAATGGCTAACTCAAACATTTTGCATATTACTCACATGGTTTGACCCTTGTTTCAAGACCTATATATATTCTACTCATCCTGAATTGTAAACTCTGTAACAATTTTCTGTTGGTGATTTAGTCTTATCCTATAATAGGCACAAGTGACATAAAAGAAATGCTTAACCAAAACATACTAACTCAAAAATTATCTATTTTTAAGAACCTTAAAATTGAGCCCATACAATTTAATATTATGGAGATAAATGTACTTATTAAATAGCATGCCTTAACCCATCTCTGAATATAACTTAATTTCTTTAGAAAACCAGAGGCAATTTCTCCAAATTTAGACATTTCACAACTTTTACAAGGTATGGTGTAAATGTTCACATTTGTATTCAAAGATCCAATAGCATCTAAAATCAACAATAACAAGATTCTGCTTCCACTGACCAGTTTATTAAACAAAGGGGAAAGCAAGTAAATCCTGGTCAGTAAATTATTAACTTAAAATCCATTAATTTTATCATGTGATTTCTTTGATCAAAATTTATAGTTACCAAAAAGCAAATCAAGTAGCAGTACACTGGGAACAAACTAATTATAAAATATGCCTTAGAAATTTTTACAAAATGGTATTAAAATAGTGTTGTCTTGTCACAGTGGCTTTTTTAGATCCAAAAAACCTGCTCATATTTTTCTGTCAAATTAACAGCCTAAAATGTAAAAAGAGAGAAAATGTAGTTAACAAATGATTACACCAGGAAAACACTTGGGGGACTTGAGTGCTTGCTGGCCTTTAGTTAATGTCTAGAATCCCCTGTAGCTGCAGAGGACCCACTGTTTTTCAGTCATCTGGAAGGGTTTTGCATTTGCCTTCTCCACTACAAAAATCACACACACAAATAACAGAGAGAAGAATTTATTATTTAGAGATATTCTAGAAAATATAACAAGAATGAACAAGAAAATCTGGCATAAAAACAAAATACCCAGTGCCCATCTGGCACCTAAGCTATAGGAAATCTTGAACTTTCACAAAAACCAGTATCATTGCAACCCTTGGTATACTGGAATTCAACGTGGGATTTTTTTTTTTTGGTTTGTTTTTGCACAAGTTATCAGTTCAAGGAAATAAGACTAACCTAGTCACTTATTTAAAACAAAAACAACATGCACTTTGAGGATTTTTTCTTTTWCTTAAGTGTTCATGGAGTTAGCCATTTACCTTTGGGACTTTTTCATAAAATCTAACATTAACCAAGTAGATGTATCTCAGAGAGTTACAATTAGGAGTGATTTCAATGAATGTGAAAGCAAAAGATAAGATTCTTTTAAAAATATCTGATTTCTAATAATTAGAATTAAAAAAAAACTGCAAGTAAGAATTATGTACTGCAGTATAACAAGGGTTTCAAAATGTTAATTGCTTAGATTGTAACATGCTACTAGTGCTCATTCTACAACTATACTGAGGTAGATGGTCATCTTAGGATGCCCACACAGGTAGTTAAAACAAAGCACAAACCTTCTGCATATGGTACGACTATCAAAGCTCTGTCAACGAATACAGTATTTGTCAGATGCTGTGCCACAACTGCTGAGTCTGGATCATGGAACTTAACAAAGCAGACACGAGATGAGACTGGCAAAGGTGAATCACTAAAAAATAATAAAAAAAAACAAACAAAAAGATTATCAGCATAGACACAAAGGTTGTTTGCAAACCAATGCCTATACCCCAAGTAGAATAATCAGAAAAAAACATGTAATTGCACATACATTTCTTTTAACCAATCCAAAAGAAAATTAATGTATTGTACACTAATGTAGAAAGCTGCACTGTAGATAAATACTTATTAATCCCTATTTAAATCTACAATGTATCAAGTTAGAGTTTTCTTAATCTCAAAGTGAGATCACAAAAATATCAACATGCTTTTCCTAATATCAATGTTGTGGTGCTGAGGACTGAACCAAGGACTAGGCAAATGCTCTACAATGGTCCACATACCAGCTCTCAAACCAACTATTTGTTTAGTTTTGGTTTAGAAACCTTTCTTTCTGCTAATTTCTCCACTTCAAAAATAAAAGACTATCATTAAGAGGTATATCTGAGTTTTCTTGACCTGCATAATGAACTGGTWCCATAAATTGATGTTTTTAACCGATAGCTATGACTCCTAGGCACTTTCAACAACTGGGTCTTTTTTAGTTTGGAGCACTTTCAAAGAAAAATTTTAAGCACACAAGGGGTGCTTAAAGTTTTAGGCACCTGTTCACCCCTGTATTACTTCACCAGGTGAAAAGCTTCTTTCCTTAGCAAGCTGCTTCCTCAGATAAAAGAAAAAAAAGTGGCTAATGCAAGAGTAGGCTTAAAAAAAAAAAAGGGTTCCAATTTCCGTCATAACATTCCCTGTGAAAGGAAAAGATTAAAAAAAGGCAGGGTTTTCAATCCTACATCAAGTTATTTGAAAACCAATGCCCAAAGGCAGTAACAATCAAATTGTCCTTGGTAACACATTAAAAGCATCTGTGGGGGGGAAAAAAATCCAGGTTCTCAATTCTCCTTTAATTAAATGAAGATTTCTAGAGGAAAAAGCACTGAACTCTTACTTGATGTCTGAAATAAGGTTTTTCTTACCCAGCAGTCATTTCATTAAACCTCAACAAAAAAATCCAAACAACTTGGTGAGGTGGCTGGCACACACCTGTAATCCCATGGACTCAGGAGGATCATGAGTTTGAGGCCAGCGTGGGCAACTTAATGAGACTCTGTCCCAAAGTAAAAAAAAAAAAAAAAGGGCTGGATATATAAGCAGTAGACAGCAGTAGAGTGCTCGTCTAGCATATGTGCACATGCACACAGCAAGCACTCTCTACCAATTCTTTACCACTATTGTTATCTGATTAAAAGAAAAAACAAATACAATGATAAAAAAATAACACTGTTAAAGAACATGTAATGAATAGTTTCTTCAGAACTGCCTATTTGTTCAGTTTATTTCCATTTACTGGGCAATCTTTTGTACTCTGGAATTTTGTGCAAGTCTAGATGACACAGGGACAAATGAAAAGACTGTTATGATGTTTTTGTCTTCCACCTTAAAAGCTGATAGTATTGATTTCGGGTGCTCAGGATCCAGCCCAGGGCTTCATGAGTACCAGGAAAGGTACTCTCCCATTGAGCTACATTCCCAGCCCTCAAGTTATTCTAAAGTGTCCTCTGAGGGCCGTTTCATAATCTTCTAGGATGCATACATAAAATTCAAAATCCTGATATTCATCTAAAGCTCACTGAATTAGTGAATTCCTTTTATAAGAGTCCTGATTCTTAACAAATCCCAAGTACATATTCACAGCCACTTAAGTTGGAAAACCTCTGGTTTAGGCCACCAATCCCAGGCTTTAAACTCTTACCTTAACACTGTGCCAACCATTTCTGATTGTAGAATTTTGAGCTTATAGAGCAAAGTATCTCCAAAGCCCCCCCAAAGAAGCATATGTAAGAAAGATGACATTCACCTAAAACTTAATTCTACTGACCTATAATATATAAAGAAATGCACAGCAAATTGTTGCATCAAAACAAACATTTGTTCAAATTCAAATTCTTTTAAAATATATTCAGTGCTACAGTGGATGTTACTGTATAACTGACATGCTTCACTAGGATCATTAACTAATAAGCCCTCCAGTTGTATTCTCCACTGTGAAATACCACTAAAACTAAACATTTAGTATCTACTTAAATAATACCACAACTCACAAATTGCTTCACTAAACCAACAAACCCCTGATACAATGGTAGGGGAAAAGTCACATAATAAAAGAGTTCAAATGCTAGTTCTGACACTGATAGCTTAGCTTGGGCAGACAAAACAACTTATGAGAATTTCAGTTCACTATTTGAAAATAAGGTCAAATACACCTTCTGGGTTTGTAATGAATAAGGTAAGAAAAATTCTGAAAGCATCTTACAGTAGACAAACAATGTTGAATTTCCAATATGTTTCAATAACTAGTCAACATGAAAGTTTAAGAAAACAAATGTAGGAGACAATGATAGATGCTTTCAAATAGTTGCAGGGCTGTTTTCCTGTCCTGTGAAGATAGACAACATTTTTCTATGTAAAATCACAGGCCAGTAGTTTTTGGCTTTAAGGAATTGAAATAACAGACAAATCCAATAGCAAAACCAAGCTGGACACCTTCTCCAGTAATCTATCAAATACATGATATAATCCCAGAAAAATTTCCCCAAAATAGACATTTAAAACTGAAGCATTTCACTAAGTGTATATGGTACWTATATGTACTTAAAAAATGCTTTGCAGATAATGTTGATGAACTCAAGAATCTCATTCTAATGACAGGGAGAAGGCTGAACTTACCTGTCAATTGGTGACAGGGGCAACAGAAAAAAACCCAAGCAGCACTAAGTAGTACAGAGAAGATACAGAGCAGCCATATKTTTAGATACAGTGGTCAAGGAAAGCTTCTCTGATTAAAGTGACTATTGAGAAACAAATGGAACCGCTTATGTCAAGAACATTCTGGGAGAAAAGAATTCTTGGCAGATATGAACGCCTTCTTGGGGAAAATTAAAAACATACAAATGGGGAAAATTAAAAACATACAAATATATCCAAATGACACACACAAACAAACACAAAAACAGGTGAAGACGTATTCACATTAGAGCCATTCAATCTTTTTCCGTGTTAAGAAAATATTTATGGAGTGATGAGCCAATCTATACCACTGGGAGCCCAAAGCACATTAATCCTGGCAAACTACTGATAACTTCAGTCAATTTATAGAAATCATAAAGTATTACCAACTTTTCAGATCAGACTAGCTATTGAGAAAAAGTAATAAAGGAACAAATAAAACTCAACATTAAATAGATAAAAATTAACCATCAATAGGATTGCTCAAATCTAGAGGCCCACTAAGTTATATAACAGTCACTATATTTTCAGAAGAAAATGACTGTATGTGGGAACATAAAGYAGAGAGCCAAAGAGCATTATTGTATCAACATTTATCTTCTAATACAGGGAAAGGAATCCTCCAAATGGACAGCACCCCAGGTCACACGACTGGATGAACAATTGCCCAGCAGCTATCGGRGTTATGATGGACATAACCATTCACCTGATTACAAAGGAAAAAGGCAGATTCTTGTCCATCATGGCTTCCTCTAAGATACTGCCCACTCATTAAGTAAAAATGAACCAGTAAAATGCCCAAAACTTCTTTTACTTTTTATAAATGCACCATAAGGGAGTATCCTCAGAGAACAAAAAAGCACTTTAAAGTTAGCAATTATATGAAATTCTTAGTAACTTGTGGAAGTGGAAGGAATTATGTAGCAAACTGAGCATCTCAAATTATTTTATTACCCCAGTAATAAAATATTCAAACATATCACTTATTTCTTGTCATTTTACTATTACAAACAACTTAATGATACATTATGAAAAAGCTGAGTATCAGCAAAACATCCCTTTCTATAGCTCATGTTATGAATTTGTCTATTACAAAAGAAGTTTCTGTTCAAAATAACATGTGTGTCCAAAACTCCACAGCACATCTAAGGCAATAACTGAATCCTTTCTCCACATGTATATTTTACTTAAAAATCAAGAACACACCAATTTGAACAGTCTTTGGAAAACAGAAAGTCACGAAATGTGATAATACTTAAATACTTCATTATGATTTGATTTTATTATTCTACTGAGCAGAAGTGTATAAAAATCAATGATTTATTACACCAACCACAAGAGATTTCTTAAGGATCTCAATTTCGGGTTCAGAATTTAAGTGACATCATAAAACTCCCAATAACATTTTTCACTTTCATCTAATAAGCATTTACAAAGAGCACACAATTGTTTTTCAAGTGTTTGCTACAATACTTTTTCTTCATAACTTTTAAAAAGGACAAAAAAGTCATTACACTCTAAATCAAAATGCCGACATTCTATAAAATTCCTTCTCAAGACAAATGAGAAACATCTAAAATCTGTACATTAAAAAAAGAAAAACACTAGGACTCTTCATAATCCATTGTGTGTGTGTATATGTGTAGATACATATATAAATCAAGTATTCAGGCTCACTGAATTAATCATCTGTCCTGTCATATTCCCTGGGTCAGAATCACTTAAAAGCAATACTTAGCAATAAATAGCGGCCTACAAATTTTAACACTAAATTAACGCTAGCCTAAATAGTTTTGTTACTTTTCTTCCAAAGACCGCAGAGAAAAAAAAACACACCTTGCCTTTTTTAAAAAATGAATTTAACCTATACGCGAAATGACGAAAGACAGATTGTCTTGCTTTATCCCAAAGCAAACGACCACGTTGGCACAATTTAAGAGAAAAGAAAAAAAAAAATCCTAAAATTAAGAGCCACTGTCTCCTAATCACTAAAAGTCTTCTCTGCTATCTACATTTTTTTGTAGGCCTAAAACACATCTTTTCGTCTATAAATGCAACCACCGCCACCAACTAACGTAGCCCGGCAGGGAAAACAGCCACAGGGCCTACGGAAATGGTGTTGCTTAGGCCCAGGATGGGGCGGCGTTAGCAAAAACGGTGATGGTG